ATATTGTTTCCCATACTTAATCTATACTTGTCCCTTTATTTTGTTTATTTATTTTTTGCATGTGATTCTTCTTTAAGCAATATACTTAGTTATTTTATGTTACATGTTTATTGGAATAATACATGTTTATTGGAAAAAAAAAAAACAGTACTGTTGAGTACAGGGTAGAAAATAAAAGTCCTTCATAATCCCACTACCCAAAGATAACCACTTTTAACATTTTTATTTACTTTTTTTTTTTTTTCAATAGAGGCAGTGTCTCATTATGTTGTGCAGACTGGTCTCGAACCACTGGCCTCAAGTGATTCTCCTGCCTCCCAAAGTGCTGGGATACAGAGATGAGGTACTATGCCCAGCCTAACAATTTTGTGTGTTTTTTCTTAAAAAAACACAGATTTGAGATCATGTAGCACCTATTGTTGTGTAACCTCCTCCTCACCCTACCCTTTCCCCTCCCCCCAACCACCCCAGTAAGAGTGTTATAAAATGGCTTCTGTTATTCCTGTGGTGATTTCTGTAAAGAGGACTTTTTTTAAGGTACAGCCATAAGTTCTGAACATCATTGAGCAGATCCAGCATTTGGCTATCCTAGCTCTTCCTCAAAATGTCAGCTTTTCTTTTGTCATCACCACCAGCAGGACTATTCTAGTATCCTAGTCAACATCTGTAAACTTTTTAAAAATGACTTTATGAGATAACATGTAACAAAGTAGTATGATTTTGAAATATCTCAAATACGGATGAGTTAAATTTATCACATTTCTGCCATGCATGTGCACATGTATGTATGCATGTGTATATGAAATCATACAACTTCAGGGCTATGTAGGAAACTCTGGAGCCAGTTACAGTATTAAGCAAACCCTTTTATTTACAGATGAGAAAACTGAGACCCCAAAAAATAGTAAGTGACTTACTTGTAACTTTGATTTTTCATTTCTCTGGTTTCTGCTTCTAGCTACTGCTGTGATTTTAGGCAGATCCTTGAACAATCCTGGCAACAGTTTCTTCCTGTGTAAAATGAGAGGTTTGAATGAACTCCAAATTCTTTCCATTCTGAAAAGCTGTGTTTTTATCATTCTTTCCTTTATCTTTTCAAGTATTCTTGGGGTGAAACCCTGTTTTATAAGGCGTTAATGAGGCCGACACTGGATTCAAAAGTAAAAGGTCTCGATTAAGACTTGGTAGTGAGAATATTCTGGCTTCGTAGCTGTGACATTTTCTTAACATTTCTTATTTGACTTCCTCAGGGCATCACATATTATATATCACATATCACATATTGTTTCCCATACTTAATCTATACTTGTCCCTTTATTTTGTTTATTTATTTTTTGCATGTGATTCTTCTTTAAGCAATATACTTAGTTATTTTATGTTACATGTTTATTGGAATAATACATGTTTATTGGAAAAAAAAAAAACAGTACTGTTGAGTACAGGGTAGAAAATAAAAGTCCTTCATAATCCCACTACCCAAAGATAACCACTTTTAACATTTTTATTTACTTATTTTTTTTTTTTTTAATAGAGGCAGTGTCTCATTATGTTGTACAGACTGGTCTCGAACCACTGGCCTCAAGTGATTCTCCTGCCTTTGAGACAGAGTCTTGCTCTGTGGCCCAGGCTGGAGTGCAGTGACGCGATCTCGGCTCACTGCAACCTCTGCCACCTGGGTTCAAGCAATTCTCCTACCTCAGTCTCCCGCGTAGCTGAGATTACAGGCACGTGCCACCATGTCTGGCTAATTTTTGTATTTTTAGTAGAGACAGGGTTTCAGCATCTTGGCCAGGCTGGTCTTGAACTCCTGACCTCGTGATCCACCCATCTCAGGCTCCCAAAGTGCTGGGATTACAGGCTGTGAGCCACTACACCTGGCTAGGCTCATTTTTTTAAATATACTAGGAGGAATAATGGTTGGGGGGAATAAGTAATGTAGGAGTAAAAAGATCTGGATTCTAAAGCCACTTTTGCTATTAATCGGCTCTGTGTCCCATTAATGAAAATAATAAATATACTAGGCACTTTAAATATTCTAGGTACAAAAGTGCTTTGAGGTAGGCACTATTAACTCCCACTTAGCAGATGAGTAAACTGAAGCTGAGAGAGCCTAAGTCTCTTACCTGGTAAGTAACTTATTTGGGAATTTGAACTAAACAACCTGGCTCCATGGCCTTGCCTTACTTTTAACTACCACACTGTGTCTCTTCCCACCAAGTGAAAGTTCTGTGATACAACACCATGAAATTTTACTTTCAGTGATTTAATCCCTAGAGAAATTTTAAATGGCTATTTATAAAGAATTTATACATCTATAAGCTTTTTCCTTTTTTTTTCTTTCTTTCTTTTTTTTTTTTAAAAAAAAAACAAACAAAAAACAACAGAGTTTCACTTCTGTCACGCAAGCTGGAGTGCAGTGGTGCAATCTCGGCTTACTGCAACCTTCGCCTCCCAGGCTCAAGCAATTTTCCTGCCTCAGCCTCCCAAGTACCTGGGATTACAAGGCATCCTGCACCACGCCTGGCTAATTTTTTTCTATTTTTAGTGGAGATGGGGTTTCACCATCTCTGAGGCCAGGCTGGTCTCAAACTCCTAAGTTCAAGTGATCCGCCTGCCTGAGCCTCCAACGTGCTGGGATCACAGGCATGAGCCACCGCACCCAGTCTGTAAACTTTTTAAAAATGACTTTATGAGATAACATGTAACAAAGTAGTATGATTTTGAAATATCTCAAATACGGATGAGTTAAATTTATCACATTTCTGCCATGCATGTGCACATGTATGTATGCATGTGTATATGAAATCATACAACTTCAGGGCTATGTAGGAAACTCTGGAGCCAGTTACAGTATTAAGCAAACCCTTTTATTTACAGATGAGAAAACTGAGACCCCAAAAAATAGTAAGTGACTTACTTGTAACTTTGATTTTTCATTTCTCTGGTTTCTGCTTCTAGCTACTGCTGTGATTTTAGGCAGATCCTTGAACAATCCTGGCAACAGTTTCTTCCTGTGTAAAATGAGAGGTTTGAATGAACTCCAAATTCTTTCCATTCTGAAAAGCTGTGTTTTTATCATTCTTTCCTTTATCTTTTCAAGTATTCTTGGGGTGAAACCCTGTTTTATAAGGCGTTAATGAGGCCGACACTGGATTCAAAAGTAAAAGGTCTCGATTAAGACTTGGTAGTGAGAATATTCTGGCTTCGTAGCTGTGACATTTTCTTAACATTTCTTATTTGACTTCCTCAGGGCATCACATATTATATATCACATATCACATATTGTTTCCCATACTTAATCTATACTTGTCCCTTTATTTTGTTTATTTATTTTTTGCATGTGATTCTTCTTTAAGCAATATACTTAGTTATTTTATGTTACATGTTTATTGGAATAATACATGTTTATTGGAAAAAAAAAAAACAGTACTGTTGAGTACAGGGTAGAAAATAAAAGTCCTTCATAATCCCACTACCCAAAGATAACCACTTTTAACATTTTTATTTACTTTTTTTTTTTTTTCAATAGAGGCAGTGTCTCATTATGTTGTGCAGACTGGTCTCGAACCACTGGCCTCAAGTGATTCTCCTGCCTCCCAAAGTGCTGGGATACAGAGATGAGGTACTATGCCCAGCCTAACAATTTTGTGTGTTTTTTCTTAAAAAAACACAGATTTGAGATCATGTAGCACCTATTGTTGTGTAACCTCCTCCTCACCCTACCCTTTCCCCTCCCCCCAACCACCCCAGTAAGAGTGTTATAAAATGGCTTCTGTTATTCCTGTGGTGATTTCTGTAAAGAGGACTTTTTTTAAGGTACAGCCATAAGTTCTGAACATCATTGAGCAGATCCAGCATTTGGCTATCCTAGCTCTTCCTCAAAATGTCAGCTTTTCTTTTGTCATCACCACCAGCAGGACTATTCTAGTATCCTAGTCAACATGCCTTGTTGTATAAATCAAACAAAAATGCCACACTAGCAAAAAGATTGGTTTACTCCCATAGCTTTCCTTCTATCTGATGTGCTCAGAAAAGATCTTCTTAACGCAAATCATATTTCCTAATTAATCTGTTTAGAGGGAAGTGTTCCATTGGATGGGTGTGCCTGGTTTTTAAAAGGAGAAACAGAAAATATTATCAGCATTTGAGGTATATAGTGTTTGCATGAAGTGTCTTACTAACAGCCATATGCCAAGTGACCATTGGCTAATTTCTTGGTATCTATAAGCCTACATTTCCCAGCTGTAAATTGAGAGTAGTACAGTATCTTCTTCCTAAGGATGTAAAGTGCTTGATACTGTGCCTGCCATTACAAGTAGGTATTCGATATTGTTTTAAAAATTAAAAAACAGACTGGGCACAGTGGCTCATACTGTTATCCCACCACTTTGGGAGGCCAAGGCAGGAGGACTGCTTGAGGTTAGAAGTTTGAGACCAGCCTGGGCAACATAGTGAGACCCCATCTGTACAAAAAATTTTAGACATTAACCAGACGTGGTGCATGTGCTAGGACCACAGGTCCTACCTACTTGGGAAGCTGAGGCAGGAAGACCACTTGAGCCCAGGAAATCAAGGTTGTAGTGAGCCATGATCGTGCCACCGCACTCCAGCCTGGGTGACAGAGTGAGAGCCTGTCTCAAAAATAATCTCGGGGCCGGGCGTGGTGGCTCAAGCCTGTAATCCCAGCACTTTGGGAGGCCGAGACGGGTGGATCACGAGGTCAGGAGATCGAGACCATCCTGGCTAACACAGTGAAACCCCATCTCTACTAAAAAATACAAAAAACTAGCCGGGCGAGGTGGCGGGCGCCTGTAGTCCCAGCTACTTGGGAGGCTGAGGCAGGAGAATGGCGTAAACGCGGGAGGCGGAGCTTGCAGTGAGGTGAGATCCGGCCACTGCACCCCAGCCTGGGCAACAGAGCAAGACTCTGTCTCAAAAAAAAAAAAAAAAAATCTCATATTGATTTTAGATTAACTTCAAATAACTTTCTTCTTATGCAGAAGACTTAACTGATGGTTCATATGATGATGTTCTAAATGCTGCACAACTTCAGAAACTCCTTTACCTGCTGGAGTCGACTGAGGATCCTGTAATTATTGAAAGAGCTTTGATTACTTTGGGTAACAATGCAGCCTTTTCAGTTAACCAGGTAAGTACCTCAACTCAGCAAGCAGGCTCTTTCCATTCTTACACACTAGTAGTAATTGTGACCCTGAATAAATTACTTAACCTCTCAGAGCTTCAATTTTCTCATCTGTGCAATGTGGCTACTTATACTTAAAACATGTTTACTTCTGGAAAACACAGCCTAATAATAATATGATTATTAATGTGATTGTAGATCCCTATGAAGTTGGTCACTGGCATCACATTCGTAAGTATATCTAATGAACGTTTAGCATTTCATGGCCTTCTAAATTATTTAAAATTTAGCAGTGCTTCAGTAAAGCAATAAATGCATCTAACATTTAAGTACATACTTTAAATTATATATAGGTCTGAGTATGATTCTGATGCAGATGGTCCCTGGAGCACACTCTGATAACCACTAATCAATGTAAATGGCTCCTGCAAATGGAGACTTAAAACTAAGACTAAAGAGCTTAATTTGAACATGTCCTTCTTCCTACTCTTTCTGACAACCGTCCAGTATGAGAAAATAGTTAAAAAAAAAAAAATTGTAATTGTTTTCAGCTAATGCCCTTTGTTAACATTGTCATAAGTACAAAATTATTTTGAATTTATTGTATTTTTAGTCCAGCTTTCTCCAGAATGGCAAGGTTTACTGTAAAGCTCTATAGATGTATAGAGAGGTAGAGAATCTTTGTGTATTACCTACTCTTTCAGTTATAAATGACAGAATTCACCTTAAATTATTTTAAGCTTTAAAGGGAAAATATTGAGCTCAGCTAACTTAGACAGCAAAGAATAGCAGATTTCAGATACAACTGAGTCCAGTTCAAGGTCGCAGAAAGAGTTACCAGAGTTCTCTCTTTCTCTACCTCTTGGCTCTGCTTATGGCCGCTCAATTTTATGTATTGGTCTTTATCTTTCTGGCCACAAAGTGGTTTTCTTCACAAGGGTTGAAAGAAAGCCACTAGCCTCTCTAAGCCTTCATCTCTGTAGCTCATGATCCAAAAGGTACAGTTGTTCTTCTAGGATCCAGTGCTCTTTGGATCAGTCTCTGGGGCAATCTCTGGATCAATCAAGGGACCATCGCCCATGTTTATGAAGCCTGGTTCACATGAGCAGCCTACAACTAAGTAGCAGGGATGGCTGTGAATACAAGTGAACAACAATCCCAGCAGGGATTGTGTGGAACAAAGGAGATGCCACATCTGCCCCCGTGGAAAGAGGGCCACTAGACAAGCAAAAACAATAGCTAGTGATTAATGTGTTAGCCTACCTTTAAAGGAGTATTTCTGATGGCATAATTTTGTATTCCTCTAAAATAAGTTGCAGTCAGAGTAGGCCAGTACCCACTGGAGAAGAAGTACTTTCTTGAGGAGCAGGGGTCAGTGCCCTCACCATCAATTGTAGTACCTTAATCTGCTTTAACAGTACAGTTTAAAAAAAAAAAAAAAAAAACCTTTCTAGTAACTGCAAGTCCTTTAAAAGAACTTGAAATTGTAAAGGGAAAGTTTATTTCTCTTTTAATGCTAAGATCACCCTTAACGGTAAAATGGAGTATTGAGCTATTTGTAAAAAGCAGATAGATGATGGCAATCTTTTTCTTTTTTCCTGCTAGAATAGCATGTCTTGACTTGACAAGAATCATTTTTAGCATGTTTTTCTTACAAGAATTAAAGCAGTTTATTTCTTTCAATGTTTAGGCAAAGGTACATGGTAACATATTATTGCAACTACCTATAAGAACTCCCAGATTATTTTTCCTCTGAATATTTGGGTACCATTTCTCTTCTTTTTTTTTTTTTCTTTTTTTTGTGGCAGTGTCTCACTCTGTTGCCCGGGCTAGATTGCAGTGGCGCAGTCTTGGCTCACTGTAACCTCCTCCCAGGTTCAAGCGATTCTCCTGCCTTAACCGCCCCAGTAGTGGGATTACAGGTACCAGCCACCATGCCTGGCTAATTTTTGTATCTCTAATGGAGATGGGATTTCACCATGTTGGCCAGGCTGGTCTCGACTTCCTGACCTCAAGTGATCCGCTCACCTCGGCCTCCCAAAGTGCTGGGATTACAGGTGTGAGCCACCGCGCCTGGCCCTGGGTACCATTTTTCAAACTGTGTGGAATCTGATTCTGCAAGATATCAGTGTGTTCCCACCATTTCCACTGCTGAAAAATGACCCTCTTTTTGTGTATAGTTCATAGACATACTATCATCAACACACACCTCTTCAAGATTCCCAATGCACATGAACATATTAAACATGCTTACTCTTGTTATACTTAGATTTTCCTAAACTTATATAACCATGGGAAACCCCCCCCCTTATTTTTATGGAACATCTCTTAACATTTTGAGGGATTAGTGTTTCAAATAATACATGTTAGCAAAACACTACTGTAGTATTCTAAATTAAAACACTAACTTTAGTATTCTAAATTGTAACACTTTTCCAGTTTTGCCTATAATGGAGAAGTCATATAACTCATCTCAAAGAAAAATAATTTTATTTGTAAGTTGCTTCAAGATCGCTATAGTACCTCTGTAAATTTTTATTGTATTTCTCAACACTGTAGTTTAAGTAATTATATATCTTAATTTTGTTTTCAATGGATTTTCTTTACCTATAAAAGTATGGGTAGTGAGATTTTTTAAAAATCTGAATTAAATATTTGTATATGGGAAAGATATTTCCAAAAAGCCATTAATTTTTAATTGTATTTGTGGATGCGAAGAATTCAGTGAACGGAGATGCGTACTGAAGTCCCAGTCCTGTTTTGTTTTGTTTTGTTTTTCCCTCATAGGCTATTATTCGTGAATTGGGTGGTATTCCAATTGTTGGAAACAAAATCAACCATTCCAACCAGAGTATTAAAGAGAAAGCTTTAAATGCACTAAATAACCTGAGTGTGAATGTTGAAAATCAAATCAAGATAAAGGTAAGTTGACTGAAAATCCCAAATATATAAGGTTTTCTATAAATAAAAGAAAAAATAACAAAAAGATGAGTAATGAAACTTCAGTAGACTATCCTTTGTAATTTTACAGCCAAGGATTACCTTTAGAGGAATGGAGAATAAGACAAAAGAGGGAGGGACCTGAACTGGCCAATAAGAGGTACAATAAAACTTTTGTTTCAGTAAAATAATGCTTGTTTATTCTACAGGTTATCTTCTACTTTACATCAGGCACAGGCACTGGTGACAGTAATAGCCTTAAGGCTATAGGCACCAACCAAATAGTGAATGTAGTTGGCTGCAAGTTGGGACAAGACTTCGTGCCAACTAGAACTAGAACTAGTATTACAAGACATTCATTCAGAGAGCATATCCAGTGCTACATATTCATAAGTATGGTTGTTAATGCATATAGTTTGGCTAGTTTTGCCTTTGAAATTAAGTGTACTATATGAGTGTATTGGAAAACGTTAATCACTGTATGCTTTAGCTCTTTCAGTGGATGAGGCAAATGTGCAAATAGATTAAACTGACTTTTACAGAATAACTGTTCCTTTATGTCATTGTATGGGGAGAAATCCTTCATTTTGGGATTCACATGCTAACCTGCGTTACTGACATTGCTTTAATGCTTTTTTCAAAAATGTTATTTATAAGGCAGTTAACCTGTTAAAAAAAAATAGTTAATTTGGTAAATGCTAACAGTTAAAACACTTCAGCCATGGCATATATAGCCAGAACCCAGTGATACCCCTCAGTCATAGAAAAGAGCAGTTTTCTGTTCATTACTGAAACAGGACTCCCACGTTCAAACCAGAAATTGTCATTCAACAGAACAAATCAGGTCAAGACAATCACAAAACAAGAGACAGGAGGATGTGCTCATATGAAGAAAAAAACAACAAATAACCAAACTTTATTTCCTTGGACATAATATTGATGGCAAGATTTGTAAGAGTTAATCTCTGTATTTAGTTTAGATAAAAACTTCCAGCCCAGAACACTGTTAGGCAGTAACTGTGAGGAGCTATGCAGAAGTGATGAGAGGCAAGTACTATATAGACTAGAAAATTTAATTTTCTACAGAATTACAGATTACTATGCTATGAAGCAAAAGCAGACCATTCTTAATGTGTCAAATTGGTAAGCTTATTAATTTCAATAAAAATATATGACCCCCCATCACACAAACAGGTAACTCTAAATCTACTTTGAAAATCTGATCAGTCAAGAAGTATTACCAGTTTGGAGACTATGTACCAAGTGTCATACGAAAGATAAGGTTGCTGTCCTCACAGAATATATGGTGTCACTGACAATCAATTAGAATATCCAATGAAGTGGATATTCTAATATTTGGGAAAATATTGGAAAACTAGCAAAGTGCCCTGGAAATTATATATTCTTGCCCTTCCACAAGACTTAAAGATCCAGATGAGATTAGTTTGGAATAGGGGTTTTTTTTTAGTCCAGAAAATCTTTAGAGTCCAATACAGTTATGGCTAATCAGATACAAAAGAACCTTTATAAAGGTAAGTAGGATTGGATGTCCTTGGAAACTGAGAACCTTATTTTGAATTATTATGTTTTAATCAAAGGTATAGAATTAATCAAGTATCAGTTAAGAATTTCTGGAATGCCAAAAAACCACTAGCGTGCTCTTTTGTACTATGAAGATTTCTTGATTTGAAATAGAAGGTAAAAAATATATTGCCAGCCATAAAATAAATTTTACTGTACTTCCTCAGTTCTCCAAAGGAAAATCTTACTTTTTTCACATAAGAAACTCACTGGATCAAATGAATGTTAATTAAACAAAAGATTGTGTAAGTAAAACTGGGCAAAAGACAACCTCTGAAATCCATGAAAGAATTAATCATCAAAAGAGAAGAATCATTTTTACAGTAGCCCCATTGCCGTAAGAGATATTTTTGTGAGCCTGGGCGGCCTCTCCAACATATAGTGAGAACCTATTACAAGTTTCAGCCAACCAATTTCCATTCCAGCTTGATAGGCTGCTGCAAATTGCTGAGATTCCTCCTTGGTTGGGGAAAAATAGAGTAACGACAATTTTACTAGACTTTTTTGCCATAGTGTACCGTGGGTTTATTTCAATAGTACCACTGTTGCCAACACCTATTACTCATCTTCCATATGACAAACAATTCACAGCTTTACTAAGATTTATATTAGCTATTATTTCAATAATCACATCAGTTCCTTTCTTACCACACATTTCTTAATTTTATCAACATAATTAACTTCTTCGTAATTAAACACTTTGTGGGCTCCATTTTGCAAAAGTATTTTGTCCCTCTCAATACCAACTGGGCCCAAACCTTTAAGGCATAAACTCTAACCATTTGGCATGTTGCTACTCCAGCAACTCCACTAGCCCCATGAACCAGAACCCAGTCTCCAGATTTCACACAGACACTGTGAATCAGAGCTCTATATGCAGTAACATATGGGATACCAATGGCAGCATTTTGTTTAAAAGTCCAGTTTTTCAGGCAGTTTGTAAACAGTGTGACCTGCTACAGGAGCATACTCCACATGGCTCCCAGAGATTGTGCCGGTAGTGAAAACTGTCACTTTTCTTGAAAGTAGATGCATTCCCTCCAACAGCTTCCATTACCCCAGTTACATCTGAGCCAGCAGTATAGAATAAGGTGGTTTTCTATTATAAATGCCATAGTAAATGTATGTCTCCACAGGGTTGACACCACATGCATGAACCTTGATTACACCTAATGGTCTTTTGGAATTGGTACTGCAACATCTGACTGAGTTTCAGGACTTCTGGTCTACCAAATTCAAACACTCTAACAGCTCTCATCAGCTTCTGTTCAGTTGCCGTGGTCATCTAGATAAAAGCTCTAGAGTGGGAATCAAAATCTGCAAGGGCTTCTTCATATGCCACTGAAGGAGGGTGGCCAGGCTGCTTCTAACTTTTGCAGCCAGCAAGACTTTTGGAGTTGGGGTTCAGTTTAATCTAAGGGTGCTAAAGGAACCAGGTCAGGGTCAGATAATGTCAGCAGAAAAATGCAATATTAGGAAATTATGTTAATTCAATATTTATCAAACTCCTGCTTTGTGGTGCAAATGAGCATGACGCAACTCTTGTTCTAAGAAAGGTGGAAGGAAGGATAAGGCAAGTTCTTAAATAATTGTAAGTCAAGGCAGAACATAATGAAGTCCTTTAAGGAAAAATGTAAGTAAAACATTATTGAGTACATAGAAAGGAGAGATTTGATCCAAAAGTTTCTGTAAGAGGTGGAGTCTGACCTGGCTCTTGAGAATGTTACTCTACAGGTAGAATTGGGGAAGGAGAGAATTCCAAGAGAACAGAACAAGATGAGGTGGACACAGCTACAGGAATAACTAAGCTGTCCCTTTGGTAAACTTGTTATTAGAATTGAAATGGTCAGAAGATTCAGATATAATAAGGTTGTAAACAGTCCACACATTTTAGGAAATGCTTTGAAAGACATCAGCTTCTTACAGAAATATATGATTTATAAAGAGCTAAATAAATGCCCTGTTTTTAAAGGATGGATGTATAATTAAATTGTAACCCAAGAGAACCAGTTGACTTTCACATGTAAATGACAGCCAGGTGTGGTGGCTCACACCTGTAATCCCAACACTTTGGGAGCCAAAACAGGAGATTGCTGGAGGCCAGGAGTTCAAGACCAGTCTGGGCAACATAGACCCCATTTATTTGTTTTGGGAGTCTCGTTCATGTTGCCCATGCTGGAGTGCAGTGGTGCAACCTCAGCTCACTACAACCCCTGCCTCCTGGATTCAAGCAACCTGCCTCAGCCTTCTGAGTAGCTGGGATTACAGGTGCCCACCACCATGCCTGTAATTTTTTGTATTTTTAATAGATACGGGATTTCACCATGTTGGCCAGGCTAGGTGGGACCCTATTTCTAAAAAAAAAAAAAAAAAAAAAATTTATTAGCTGGACATAGTGGCATGCACCTGTAGTCCCAGCTACTCAGGAGACTGAGACAGGGGAATTTGAGGCTGCAGTGAGCTGTTATCATGCCACTGCACTTCAGCCTGGGTGACAGAGTGAGATCCTGTCTCTAAAAATAAATGTAATTTGGATCTTGAAACCAGATGAAAAGTTTAATCTCTCTTTGCTTTACTGCCATTTAGTTTCTATGGTAACATGGATACATTTGGGGTTTTTAAAAAATTAATAATTGTTTATGGGACAATTGGTAACTTCTTACCACTTCAAATTAGGAAAATTTTCTTAGCAGTTAGAACTTTTGGTGGAGTTCAGATTTGCTTACGTGAATAGCAGTTATCTGTAAAACATCATTTTTCTAAGCTAGAAATCTCATGGCCAGGCTAGACATAGTGGTGCACACCTGTAATCCCAGCACTTTGGGAGGCTGAGGCAGGTGGATTGCTTGAGCTCAACAGTTTGAGACCAGCCTGGGCAACATGGTGAAACCCTGTATCTACAAAGAATACAAAAATTAGCTGGGCATGGTGGCTCATGCCTGTAGTCCCAGCTACTCTGGAGACTGAGGCAGGAGGATCACTTGAGCCTGGGAGGTCAAGGCTGTAGTGAGCAGAGTTTGTGCCACTGCAGCCTGTGCGGCAGTGAGACCCTGCCCCCCGAAAAAAAGAAAGCTCATGGCCAGACACAGAAAATAGAGTTTCAGAAAAGTTTCCATCACACTGAGTTTAGTTCTGTGATACATGATACAGGAGTACTACAGCATTGCATTACTTTTTACCAGTGATAGTTAACAATATTATAAAGGGGTGAATTACATATATATATACACACACACCTAGGTAAATAAGAACCTTAGACCAAGTATAATTTTGTTCTGCTTACTTTTGATAGGATTAATTCTAGGGAAAGATTCTGTTTCACATTATCCTCCCATTCTTTACTTCAGAAATGATGTCGCTCTCTAGACACTACTGCTGAGGTACTTACCATGACACAAAATGGCCTCTCATCTTCCCTGATCCTAGTGTGCACAGACCAGTTGAAACAGAAAGGTGGACTAAGCTGGGAGGCCTCCAGCCAGGGAGAGGCCACTGCTGTTAAGAGCATGATCTCTGGGCTTGGCTATTGCATCCCCACCTGCTGTCTGACATTGCGCAGGGGACCCGAGCTCCTCAAAGACTTAAAAGTCCTTGTCTGCAAGAAAGCTGTAATGGTGTAACACCCACCTCATTAGAGTTGTCTTCAGGATTAAGTGAGGAGTATTTGTAAAATGCTAAGCACCGTGCCTGGAATTACCAAAGGAAGCTTTTAAAAAGTCAACAACATTTGAGGGTCAGATAGAAATGTCATATTTTTTGAGGAGTCAGTTCCATCCTGAGCAGTAGCCTTACTCCACTGTGCAGAAAAGTGACTGTTCAGTAGAAAAATTTTGGAGATTCTAAGATGCTCATATTCCTCCCCTGCTTTCAGATATACATCAATCAAGTCTGTGAGGATGTCTTCTCTGGTCCTCTGAACTCTGCTGTGCAGCTGGCCGGACTGAGATTGTTGACAAACATGACTGTTACCAATGACCACCAGCACATGCTTCACAATTACATTACAGACCTGTTCCAGGTATTACTTACTGGAAATGGAAACACGAAGGTATGAAGAGCTATTGTGTCAAGCTTATTAACATTGAAATCGTATTTGCAGGCCACCTATCTTAAGTTAATGTGCCTCAAAGAAGAGGAAGATTTATTAAAAACTCACATGGGCCCAAGAAAGTATATTTAGTCCCAAATACTCCATTGCGAAATTAACTTGTGAAGATCATCTGTTGTTTCACTTATCAGCAGATTCATGTTCATTTGGTTTTCTCAGAAGCTAGCTTTCCCCCCACCAAATATAGGAACATTGTGATTAAAAGGAGTCTTTGAATAATAGTAGTGGTTAGTTGAATATTTTACTTACCTTGGGGTTAACAAATCATTTTTTTGATTCAGTTATTTGTTGAAAAATATTTCTAAAACAACCTTTAAGTTGTAGTAAATGAAGTGAATTGAATGAATGAAAGATGTCTCTGCTTCACTCTGTCCAGTTAGGTTGATATAAGAGGCAACAGATATTGAGCTGAATTAAGTAGGACCTTAGGAGATGCCCTGTAAAAAGGTTCTTGAGTAAATCTCTCATATTAGCGTGCATTCTTATCAATTGCCATTTTTCAAGAAAAAGTAGCATAAAAATAGATTGTAGGCTAATTAAAAGTTCTGATAAGTTGGGTTGATTGTTCGTCAAGGCTTTTTACCATGTTGCTCTGTGTTCTCTGGAACAATTGAGAGACAAATGCATAAGCATTTTAGAAAGACCAAATGTGAAGCCATACTCCAAATATTCAACATCACTGCAGTTATTTTTGAGGTTATCAAGATGTTACAGGAGAGTTTTACTGTAGTCTTGCTTTTATGTTTCCAAGGTGTTTGTACGTGGACTTTTCTCTTTTCCAATAGCCAAACTTGTTTGGATCTGGTCCAAGATGTACCAAAGGTATTGAAAATTAAATGTAAGAGTCTTACAGCAATATTGCACCATTCCCGGGCAGTTTCCAACATGCATCAACATCTCTGTCTCCAGTGGAGCAAGATAACTTACAGCCCCTGAACCCCTGTGGAAACTCCTTCCCTCTTTACTCTTATGTTGTTGCCTCTGTAGGAGAAATCTCTCCTCTGCCTGACTCTGCAGCTGCTTTACCTAGAACCTCAGGAGGAACTCTGAGTTCAGAGTCAGGCTGAGTTCAGCCAGGCGAGTCTGGCCTTGGGGCTGTATATATCTGTCTCAGACATCGTCTGCATTTTCATGTATTTTTTGACTTTTTAAAAGATGACCCACACCACAATAGTATGTTCTATTTTTGTTTTGTTGTGTTGTGTTTTTCCATTACATTGCTAATACAGTATTTCTAGGATAGAAAATTTGCTTTCTTGGTCTGCCTTGGAACATAGCCACCAATTACAACATTGATTTTCCATAAAAATTGAGTTTAAAGTTCTAACTTGCAAATAAACTTTTGGATAGTCATCCATTTGTTAGTGGGAAAGTATGTCTGATTTAGGTATTTTCTTAGTAAATAACCACTAAAATGAATTTTAAAATATCTTACTTTGCTTAAGTCAGGGATCTCACTGTACTGTGATAACCTTTTGGGTACACCACTGATTGATAACCAAATGCAGATAGCGGAGGATTAACATAAATAAACTGTGTGCTTGTTACATCCGCAATGAAAATGAAACTAATGGTTTAAAATGTCCTAGTGTCACCACAAGATGGTGCATGTGATGAGGAAAACAAAAAACATGTCAATATGGTTTCAAATCAAAATCCATATATTTGTTAAATCTGTAGTTGTACTCTGTGTGTGTGTATATATATATATATTTCTCATATTTAACTCCTTTCTACAAAGAGTAGCAACATCAGATTTTAATACAGGGTACCAAATAGCTATTGCTGTTGCTATTCCCTGGTTGTATACCTGCCTTCATTGACTATTAGTGGGTCTCAGATTTTGACTTCATCCAGGCTTATTTCATAAGTTCAGAACCATCCTATTTCATACCTCTTCTTCCTATTTTTCTAATTGAAACTTCATTGACATTGGAACCAGGTGTTTTGGTTTTTTTTTTCTAACACTTATTCCTAGTGTTGCTGACAGCGAGTCAGGCCAGATGAGATCTGATAGTGACCTCCACGGAGTGCACTAAAGAAGGGTCAGAAGTCTCCTTTACTCTTTCACTCCCAGAGACCTTAATTTATTAAGAGCATCTGTTTGAAAAAGACAATCTCTGCATATTCAAGAAATGTTACCAGTGGTCACTGCTGAGGATTGGAAGGGGCCAATAGCATGGTGGCTTTTGTTTTTACCTTGTTCTCTTTTTCATTACTTAAAATTTTTGTTATGACCAAGTAGTAATTTTCTAAAAATAAAGAAATATTTGATAAAAACAGTAAAATTAAGCAAAGTATTATGTTATCCTCAAATTAGTATCTACAACATGATCAAAGGAATTGTGAGTACACAGGATATATGCATAAAGATCAAAAAGAAAATACCAAAACTTTTCTCTTTTTTGACACAGAATCTCACTCTATTGCCCAGGCTAGATTGCAGTGGCATGATCTCTGCTCACTGCGGCCTTGAGCTTCCAGGCTCAAGCAATCCTCCTACCTCAGCCTCCCGAATAACTGGGACTTCAGTCACATGCTACCACGCCTGGCTGATTTTTGTATTTTTTGTAGAGACGAGGTTTTGCTGTGTTGCACACGTTGCTCTTGAACTCCTGAGCTCAAGTTATCTGCCCACCTTGGCCTCCCAAAGTGCTGGGAATGCAAGCATGCACCACCATACCTGGCCAAAAATACCAAAACTTAACCGTGATCATTTCTAGTTATGTAAATATGGGTAAATTTTCTTTTTCTTTGTGCTTTTCTATTTTTTTTTAAAGTGCTATGGTAAACATCTGTTGCCTTTATAATAAAAAATTTTTGCAAAATAATATCCAGGTTCCTTCCCAGCTCTAGTGAAGAGCACATTTGTCACATTTCCCTGAGTTAGTACCCCCGCTCTGTGCTCCTTGTTTTAGTTCCAGGTATCTTGTGGAAAGTATGGTTTCACCTGGCCTTTGTTTTTAAAAAAGAGGCGTTCTATTTGAGTCTTTTTATTACTGACTTTTCAGTTATAAGTGATAAGAATGCTGATATTTTAGCTAGTCAGCCATTAAATAACATTTATTTGCTTATTATTTATATCATTGCTGGGCATGGTGGTTCATGCCTATAATCCTAGTTACTTTGGGAGACCAAAGTGAGAGGATTCCTTGAGGCCAGAAGTTCAAGACCAGCCTCAGCAATATAGTGAGACCCCATCTCAATCCATCAACCCATCAATCAGTTTTTATCACTGTGCTTTTTTATATGATTGTAAAACACTTTCACATTAAAAGATAGCCTCAAAGATTCATAGTAGCTCACTAAAAGGGGCCATATTGTTATTTATTTAGTCTTGGTAACCAAACAGTTCCAGAATTTTTATACTTTAAGTAGAAATGAGCTTTGAGAGTTTTTTTGTTGTTGTTGTTTTAAAGATTATATTTCTTTCTTTCTTTTTTGTGGGGAGTGAAGATGGGGTCTCAGGGTCTCACTGTGTTGCTCAGGCTGGAGTGCAGTGGCTGTTCACAGGCACAATCATAGCTTGAATTTGAACATCCTTGAACTTGAACATCATTAAGGTGGGAAAGCTCAAGCAATCCTCCCACCTGAGCTTCCCAAGTACCTAGGACTACAGGCCGTGTCGACACCACCATGCCTGGCCATACTTCACTTAACAGTAATCATAATAAAGATCGTGTATTTAACAGATGTTAAGCTTACCATCTGTTCGGATGTGCATGTGAGTTGGGGGTAGATTGTGAAGACATTTGCAATATTCTATCTCCCTAACATTATAATTGGGAAAAAATAGGTTTAAATAACACTGTGATAGAAAACCTCTATCTCTGATAGGTTCTGTAAGAGTAGTGCAGGACATTTGCAGTATACTCTGTATCTCCCTAACGGTGTAATTGGAAAAGTGAGGTTTAAATAACACTGCTCTGTGATAGGTTCTCTAAGAGTGGTGCCAAGTGTTATAAGAGTTCACAGTGAGACGTTTAAAGTAGAATGAAGAGAGAAGATTTCCTGGAGTAGAGAGAATTTGAGCCAGGCCTGGAAGACATGGTGAGAGAAAGCATGCCTGAGAGAGAAAATTCATGCTTGCCACTCTGAGATAAGCCAGTATCATCTTCTTCCAGGTGCAAGTTTTGAAACTGCTTTTGAATTTGTCTGAAAATCCAGCCATGACAGAAGGACTTCTTCATGCCCAAGTAAATAGCTTATATGTTTATTTTGTAAATATATACATATATAAATTTGAGCAGACAGATCTGGAAAGATTTAACCTAAAATGTTAACAGGGATTCTTTCTGAGGAGCAGTATTAAAGAATTTTTTAAATTCATTTTGTATATATGAATTTCCTAAATTTTTTGCAATGAGTCTATTTTACTTACTTTTGAAAAACATTTTTAAAAATTCACCCTAGCAACAATAAATTATAACTTTTTTCTCTACCCAATTTTGGGTACAATTGTGCCATTCCATCTTTTATACTGGACCTGTTTGTGTTTACATGTATCTTAGTATCCACTGAAACAGCAGTACTGAGTCCCCAGCATATGCTAGACTCTAGATGAGACACACCAGTGAGCACAGCATGACATGGTACATGTCCTCATGAAGCTTACAGTCTAGTGGAGAAACAAAAATATATAACAAGTGAACAAGGTAATTAAAAGCTGTGATAAGTGGTCTGAATGCTGGGATAGAATGGAGCTTAACTCCTGTAGAAAAGGAACCATCATATTCATCTGCTCATCCCTGTTTCCCACCCAGCTCTGCGCCCTCTAGTGTATGGGCACTAAATGTTTGATGAAATAATGAGTTCCCATGAAAACCATATGACAGATCTTAAAAAAGAAAAATGGTTGTTTTTCCCAAATAACCACACTCTAAAATTACAAGGAAATTGTATTTTTCCAGCTAAAACACTCCCTTTTTTCCATTAGTATACAGCGTGGGGATACATAAGGTTTTATACATCTAAGTTATGCAATTTTGGGTTAATTTTCTATGACAAAATTTTTAAAATGTGAGATATTCACATTTTAAATGTGAATTTTAAAATTTTAAAATGTGAGTTATTCAATGCAATTTTAAGATGTTAAAATATACGTGAAAAATGTTTTCATATATTATTAATACAAAATAATACTAATACTATTGTTTCCTATTTCAGGTGGATTCATCATTCCTTTCCCTTTATGACAGCCACGTAGCAAAGGAGATTCTTCTTCGAGTACTTACACTATTTCAGAATATAAATAACTGCCTCAAAATAGAAGGCCATTTAGCTGTGCAGCCTACTTTCACTGAAGGTTCACTGTTTTTCCTGTTACATGGAGAAGAATGTGCCCAGAAAATAAAAGCTTTAGTTGACCACCATGATGCAGAGGTGAAGGAAAAGGTTTTAACAATAATACCGAAAATCTGATTGGTCATATTTTTCCAAAGAGTAATGCAGTCTGGATGTAAACGTATTTTCTATTTTCCTTGTAAGGGGATTCTTCCAGCTGCTGAATTTAAACAGTAAATATCGCATTTCATCATTGACACAGCTATAACTTGCCATGCTTCTAGATTTATTTTGGACTGTTTTGATACCAAGTGAGTATAAGAGCTTGTACTGAAATCGTTTCTTTCTTTTTATTTTGCTATTTGCAAATACTTGTTATTTTCCCTACATGAAGTGGCAGTAACCTTTTTCACATTTAAGCTACCCTTCTACTTTTTGAAGTGATTTGCAGTTACTCATCTGAGACAGCATCAGTATTTGACTAAATCGTTGCTTCAGAACTATCATAGCTTGTTCTTTTAGTAGCAATGAAATCCTAAGTTCTTGAGGCCACTCACCTGCCAACCTGACCATACTGCTTTCAAAAGTCTTTTCTCGTCAGTATAATCTATTTTGGTCACTTCTAGTCAGTGAAAAATGTAAACTTTTAGGAGAGAATGTTTCCTAGGACTCACCCACTCCCCTTCAATGTTCAATATGTAAAGAAAGTTATATATAAAATAGTGGGATCAATCACAATGTCCATCTTTAGACAGTTGGTTAAATAAATTTTCTGGTCTTGGAAAAGAATGATGGAGGCCAGGCACAGTGGCTCATGCCTGTAATCCCAGCACTTTGGGAGGCTGAGGCGGGCAGATCACCTGAGGTCAGGAGTTTGGGACTAGCCTGACCAATATGGAGAAACCCCGTCTCTACTAAGAATACAAAATTAGCTGGGCATGGTGGCGCATGCCTGTTAATCCCAGCTACTTGGGAGGCTGAGGCAGGAGAATCGCTTGAATCCAGGAGGCAGAGGTTGCAGTGAGCTGAGATCGCACCATTGCACTCCAGCCTGGGCAACAAGAGCAAAACAGTGTCTCAAAAAAAAAACAATGATGGAACTCTGAATGTGCTTAAGTGGAAAGCTATCTATGAAATATGGTGGTTTTTTTAAAAAACACAAATTATAGAAGAATATGGGATCGTGTGTGTGTGTGTGTGTGTGTGTGTGTGTTTAAATGAAAAATGCTTATGTATTGACAAAACACTTCTAGAATGATACCCAAACTCTAGTAGTGGGAGTGGGGAATGCCTTCTACATACACACTGTTCTACTGTTTGAATTTTTTACTATGAGCCCAAATTATAAAATCTTTTTTTAATAAAGAGGAAAAAAATCACTCACAAGGTTATACATACTGTTTCCCTTGACAGTACTTTATTAATTTTCATCCATATTTTACTTGACTAAAAATACAATGTATGAAAAGTTATCTTTAATAGTATTTTTATTCCATAAGCTACTATAACAATTTATTGATACATCTGGGATTCAGCCAGGTCTTATAATATTTAAATTTATAACCCCTGCCATGCGTAGCATTAAGTAAATCAGTATGCAAGCAGTATTTAAGGCAAAAGCTTTAAGAATACTTTAAATTTCATTTGTAAATACATAGATACAAGACTGTTTCCATAGGAAGTCACAAATCCTCAAACAGAAATATGTGTGTTCTCAAGGTTATCCTGATACAGAAATCAAACTTTGAAGGAATATTTTTACATTAGAAAAAGGGGTCAGTATAAGGTGAAAACTGAAAATTCCCAGTGGGCTAGACGTGAACAAAAGTATGCATTCCCCAAAAGGCACATTTCTTTGTAACAGTTTTTTCAAATTTACCTCCCTATTTAATGAACGCATATTAATTAAATATGAAAATGTGCATACATTGAAAACCAGGATTTGTTTTTAATGTGCTTTAGCAGCAGTGGATTCTAAAACTGTCTTGTCCTCTCTCATTAGTTTGAATAATCACGCTTCCTAGAGATCAGACCATTGAGTCTGAAATGTCAAAATGCTAGAGAAAAGAGGGAGTAATTTTTAACTACCCAGAAAGAAGATGCACAAATACATCTTTTCCTATGTAGGTCACGGCATATGTTGGCTTTTATAATTTGGGATTTCTCCTAATTGATGACCCACCCTATTGGGCAGTGAGGCATAGCAAAGTGTTCCTCGGTTATCGCAGGAAACTTCAATAAAATCTTACATATTGGTATGGGTACTCACTAATCAAAGAGGAAAATAAAGTTGACTTAGAGGATAAGACTGATTAAATGACACTACAATGCATATTAGACTGAATTGAAAAAGAGAATGGATTTGTCTTATTTTTCAAAATTTGTTTTCACTTTGCACATAAGCCCTTCAAAATGTAGATAACAAATGAAAAATAAAGTGGAACCCACTCAGTAAGGTGAGATTTCTGTAAGTAGGGATGAAGCTTGACATTCTTAATGAATAGTGTCAGTGTAGAAAGAACATGAGTGGTAATAAAAAATTACAGCTTATGAAAGGGCCTAGAAAAATGAGGCAGGCCAGATGAGTGGAAATAGAACACAACAGTTTAAAGTGCTTTGAGGCCCTCAGTTAAACAGTACATATGAATACAAAATAATGTTAAGGCCATTCATGGAGAAGAAATACTTAAGCAAGACATACCTGGCTTGCTTCACAGAGTAGAGGTAAGAGATGGATTCTCAATTCAGTGTGCAGCAGCAAGGAATATGGCTACAAAGTTGGCTAGTATTAGGGCAACACACCTCAAAACTAACCATAAACCTAACATCTTGATTCACATCTGCTTGGAGTGAAAAAGTTTATGATCAATCTTTTCAGGAAGGTTTATTTTATGGGGGATTTTTTTTGTGCTTTAGTACCCCAAAATCGCATACATTATATATACACACATTGCATACACATTTCCCCTTGACTGATTCGCATCTTTATAGATAAACACTAAATTTTGATAAAGATTATTTACACTTATTTAGGCTATTACTCCAATTTACAAAATCAGTGAAATAAAGTTGTTTTCAGTGTTTAGTCTCCTAATATATGATGCTTAAATTTGCAACAGGAACAATACATTATCAAAAGCATTAACCTATATTCAGCTTTCAAATATACCTATCTATATTAGGCAGTGATATCTTAAGAAATGATTTTCTCCCTTATATTTCTAAAGTGCTTTAAAAACTCATTTATTCTACACATTTTTCAGAGGTAGGTCGGAATTATCCTCTTGTTGCAAATGAGGAAACAGGCACAGTGAGCATTGGTGACTTGTTTCAGGTTACACAAAAAATCCATGATGAAAGCAGGGTAAAAGTTCAGATTTAGTGGCTATCATGTGGCACTAGACATACACATGTGTAAATTATAGAGCACTGCCTGGGTAGCATTTGGTGTAGAAAACCTATTTTGATTATTTTGTATGAATAAAGTGCTGAGACTGGATTAGGAATACAGAATGGGCCTCCAGCAGTATCTAATCCAACTCCCTCCCTTAGGAAGGGTCAGAATAATCAAGTGAATACAGAGCCCTTATTAGGACTAAATCTTACGTCAACTGACTTTTTTTTTTTTTTTGTAACCACTGGTGTTCATACTGGCTTACCAAAAGAATCATGCTTAAGGTTCATTTAATACAAAAATATAAGACATCTGAATCATGTAAAAAAAATTATAAATCTGATTGATATATTTAGAGCTAAGAGACCCCGGAAAAAGAAAATGTGTAGAGAAATTTAAAAACATAAAATTTAATTCAAAGTATATGGTCTATTAACATTTATTAACATTTTATCTGTAAAATACTTAATTGTAGCTATATTTGTGCTTAGAAGATCTTCTAGATTTAAAAAAAGAAAATGGCATAAATCATATTCTCATAGCCACACGCCTTCCCTTCTCTGCTCAGCTAAGAAGAGGGCTTTCTTTCGAGACAGGGTCTCATTTTGTCGCCCAGGCTGGAGTGCAGTGGTATAATCACAGCTCACTGCAGCCTCTACCTCCTGGGCTCAAGTGATCCTCCCACCTCAGCCTCCCAAGTACCTGTGACTACAGGTACACACCACCTCACCCGGCTAATTTTTTTTTTCCCCCCCAAGAGACGAAGTCACCATGTTGCCCAGGCTGATGTCGACTTTCTGGGTTCAAGTGATCCACCCACCTTGGCCTCCCAAAGTAAGAGGTCTTTTGGGAATTGTAGATATGCAACAGAATACAGTTTCCTCTCATCTGAAGGCTCTAGGAAAAAAAAAATACACTGTTCCCTCTTTCAAAAACTTAAGTGAATGGTGGTCATGGGTGCATTAATGCGAAAGAACTGTACACTTAAAAATGGTTAAAATGGTAAGTGTTTAAAATGGCAAATACGTATTTATATATTTTTACCACAACAGAAAAAATCAAGTCTTTAAAAATGATAGCCCCTATGTTTTTATGCTTACTGAAATAAGCCATATTTAATATTTGGCATATAAGCTAATCTTGATAGAGCAAGAATTGCTGTTTATAATAAGCATGTTGGACTGAATTTCATCATTTATTATAATGTGCATATAAGAAAGATACTTGTATTTGTAGGCCTCTGAAAAAAATCTAGGTGGGTAGACAGGCTTGACTCATCTTGCAGAAGGTCCTGAAGAATGGAAAAAACAAAATGAGTCTTCAATATCAGTTTTTCACAATCTCAGGAAATTCTACTACCACAAAAGTGTAATGCTTTAGTAAAAACATTTCCATTGCAGTGCTTATATCATGATAGGAGATTTAAAATTCACATTAGCCAATTCATTATTTAAATGACCCACCCCTGAACCCTCTCATAGTGTATATGAGCTGATCATATTAGGAAGCAAGTTATTACACAAAACATAAAACATAAACTTGCAGAAGTTGTTTCCAAATGTAAAAGAATCACAATATTCATGAATTTCTAAGTCTTTTCATTTGTTTTTAAACTCAGATGATGCCTTTTTCATTAAAAGTGCCTGTGCTCACATTTATTAAAAGTTTTCATCATCAGTATTTAGGTATCTTGATTCTCCATGCTTCAAGACAAAAAAATCTTCAGCATTAAGTCCGTATCTCTCTAGAGCTTCATTCAGCTTCACTGGAGGCTCTAAGTAATGCTGGCCAAAGGTAGAAAGAAGAAAAACAGGAAAAGATTATACACATATTTGGGAGATTATTCAAATAACAGTTCAAACTAAAATAACATATGCATAGTTAAAACAAGGCCCTTTTAATTGAAGCTTTAGCAAATGGGTGTATCACATTTTCTAATACAGTTTTGAGTCATGAAATAAGTCAACAGAAAGGTAGTTGGTTGGACAGAAATCACGCCAACACCATGTATGTCAAATTTGGTGCCATCTTACTTTGAACATCACTGGATTGCATGAAATCTTATCACGGTTTCACCATATGAAATTCCAATCTAAACGGAATCAGTGCCAAAGATGATGGTATTAGAGAATTACATGTTACCAACATTTTTGAAAAATATAGAAATCTTGAGATTGTAGTGGGTGGGTGGGTATGTGTGTGTGTAGCCAAATACTACAGCAAATTGTTTTGGTTGAAGAAGGGTTGTTATTCTCAAAAAGTCTAGTCACATACAGAAACCAGTCTACAGAATGAAAGAGGATCCCAGAGAATATACTCTGAAGGTTTACCTGTGTGTGGGGCAAAGAGGAGTCAAGATTTTGCCCTGAGTAATTGCCAAATGGGAGTCGCCTTTTACTGAGATGTTTGAAAAGTAAGCTGGAGGGAAGATGAGGAAGTTGAATTTCAGACTTTAGTTCTAGGTACCTAATGGATATTCAAGTGGAGATGTGAAGGAGACAGTTGGATATATAAATGTGGATTATAGAGGAAAAATAGCTAGAGAGGAACAGCAGATAGGTGGTATTTGAAGCCATAAGACTGGATGCGATTCCCAAGGGAGAAACCAACTATAGAAGAGAAGAGGTCCATAGACTGACTCCTACGGCACGCACTGTTCAGAACAAGCAGAGAGGAGGAACTAGCAACAGAGAATAAGAAAGGACAGCCAATGATGTACAAGGAAAACCAGGTAAGTTTCCTGAGCCCTTAAATGCACAGGTTTGGTAACAGTTAGTGGCCACACACAGGTCATCCTTTTCCCCCTTGCTCAGTTCCAGGTTTTATGGCTATGTTTAAAGATCGGCAGGGCACGGTGGCTCACACCTGTAGTTCCCAGCACTTTGGGAGGCCGAGGTGGGCAGACCACGAGGTCAGGAGATCAAGACCATCCTGGCTAACAAGGTGAAACCCTGTCTCTACTAAAAATACAAAAATTAGCCAGGCGTGGTGGTGGGTGCCTGCAGTCCCAGCTACTCGGGAGGCTGAGGCAGGAGAATGGCATGAACCTGGGAGGCGGAGCTTGCAGTGAGCTGAGATTGCACCACTGTACTCCAGCCTGGGCAACAGAGCGAGACTCCATCTCAAAGAAAAAAAAAAAAGATCAAGAATACCTTTCGACTGACTACTGAGTACATTCAGTTTTAACTATGTGTTGGTTATCCAATATTCCTAGAACTAACCCCTTACTAATGGATAGTTGATAACAGGAATTTACTTTTAATCTGTTTTATATATAAAGGAAAAAGATCACTAATTATCAATAAAATTTAACTTTATACCTTGTCAAGAAATTTCCCCTAAAATAATTTCCTAAATTATTTTAAGAGATTTCAAAATGATGAACTTTTTTCCCATTGAAAAATAACTTCTTTTGTTAAATTCTCTTTCTCCCATGCTCTACAAGTCTGGGCCAACAAGACACACTCACACAGTCACCCTACATTGGTAACTTAAACTTGTTAAGCCATTAACTTTAGTGTGGAGTGCGATGTGTGGATTTAGTGAGAATTCTGATATGTTAGAGTTGGCAGTAGACCCTCTGTCTTTAATCTGCCTAGATTTAGCAGTATCTTTCTGAGTTTCTTCATAGATCAATTCTTCACTGTTTCAACCATCTAGAAAACCTTGGAGGTAGGTCTGAAAGGCTTCTGAGTGACTGAGAGCTCATAGTCCAAGCTCTTTCGTCCACAAGGGAGATAAAAATGCCATACCACGGGACAAAACAACTATGTATAAAGCAAAGTATATCAGAGATCAATATGAGTTAAGTGGGAAAAGCAGAAGACTCCCAGCACTCTGGATCCATTAGGGTCTAGGCAGCTAGCCACACACAACTTGTAAATTCCTACAGGGGTCAGTTTCATGATATACTGCAATAGAATATATTCAAAGACCCTGATCACTTGAAAGGCAATGTACATATTATGTAATGCTTGAAATTCGTTTCCATCAAAACTAGTAATTTAAGTTTTAGGGCTTAAATATATGTAGGAAATCCACTCATCATTCCCTAGATAAATTAGATGTTGCTATATATGCAATTGTAGAGTATTGCCAAGTTAAGGACATCCTTAATCTGCTTATATTACAGGAGGCAGTTACTATAACAGCATATATGCAAAGAATCTGACATAACCATCAGATTCATCAAGGGTGAAATGAAGGAAAAAATGTGAAGGGGAGCCAGAGAGAAACGTCAGGTTACCAAGAAAGGGAAGCCCCTCAGACTAACACCGGATTTCTGAGCAGAAACTCTACAAACCCAGAAGAGAGGAGGGGCCGATATTCAATATTTTTTTTTTTTTTTTTTTTTTTTTTTTTTTTTTTTTTTTTGAGACAGAGTCTCGCTCTGTTGCCCAGACTGGAGTGCAGTGGCACAATCTCTGCTCACTGCAACCTCCACCTCCTGGGTTCAAGCAGTTCTCCTGCCTCAGCCTCCTGAGTAGCTGGGATCACAGGCATGTGCCACAACACCTGGTTAATTTTTGCATTTTTATTAGAGACCGGGTTTCACCACGTTGGTCAGGCTGGTCTCGAACTCCTGACCTCGTGATCTCCCCGCCTCAGCCTCCCAAAGTGCTGGGATTACAGGCGTGAGCCACCACACCCAGCTCAACATTCTTAGAATTTTCAACCCGGAATTTCATATCCAACCAAACTAAGCTTCATAAGCGAAGGAGAAATAAAATCCTTTACAGACAAGCAAATGCTGAGAGATTTTTGTCACCACCAGGCCTGCCTTACAAGAGCTCCTGAAAGAAGCACTAAACATGGACAGAAACAACTGGTATAAGCCACTGCAAAAACATACCAAATTGCAAAGACCATCAACACTATGAATAAACTGCATTAACTAACAAGCAAAATAACCAGCTAGCATCATAATGACAGGATCAAATTCACACATAACAATATTAACCTTAAATGTAATTAGGTTAATGCCCCAATTAAAAGACAAAGATTGGCAAATTGGATAGAGTCAAGACCCATCAGTGTGCTGTATTCAGGAGACCCATCTCATGTGCAAAGACACACATAGGCTCAAAATAAAGGGATGGAGGAATACTTACAAGCAAATGGAAAGCAGGGGTTGCAATCCTAGTCTCTGATAAAACAGACTTTAAACCAACAAAGATCAAAAGATACAAAGAAGGCCATTACATAATGGTAAAGGGATCAATTCATCAGGAAGAGCTAACTATCCTCAATATATATGCACCCAATACAGGAGCACCCAGATTCATAAAGCAAGTTCTTAGAGACCTACAAAGAGACTTAGACTCCCACACAATAATAGTGGAAGACTTTAACACCACACTGTCAATATTAGATAGATCAACGAGACAGAAAATTAACAAGGATATCCAGGAATTGAACTCAGCTCTGAACCAAGCAGACCTAACAGACATCTACAGAACTCTCCACCCCAAATCAACAGAATATACATTCTTCTCAGAACCACATTGCACTTATTCTAAAATTGACCACATAATTGGAAGTAAAACACTCAACAAATGCAAAAGAAAGGAAATCATAATAGTCTCTCAGACCACAGTGCAATCAAATTAGAACTCAAGATTAAGAAATTCACTCAAAACCACACAACTGCATGGAAACTGAAAAACCTGCTCCTGAACGACTATGGGTAAATAATGAAATTAAGGCAGAAATAAAGATGTGCTTTGAAACCAATGAGAACAAAGACACAATGTACCAGAATCTCTGGGACACATTTAAAGCAGTGTATAGAGGGAAATTTATAGCATTAAATGCCCACAAGAGAAAGTGGGAAAGATCTAAAATCGACACCCTAAAATCACAACTAAACTAGAGAAGCAAGAGCAAACAAACTCAAAAGTGAGAAGACAAGAAATAACTAAGAGCAGAACTGAAGGAGATAGAGACACGAAAAATCCTTTTAAAAATCAATGAATCCAGAAGTTGGTTTTTTGAAAAGATCAACATAATAGACCATTCGCCAGACTAATAAAGAAGAAAAGAGAGAAGAATCAAACAGACGCGATAAAAAATGATAAAGGAGATATCACCACCAATCCCACAGAAATACAAACTACCATCAGAGAATACTATCAACACCTCTACGCAAATAAAGTAGAAAATCTAGAAGAAATAGATAAATTCCTGGACACATACACTATCCTAAGACTAAACTAGGAAGAAGTCAAATTCCTGAATGGAACAATAACAAGTTCTGAAATTGAGGCAGAAATTAATAGCCTACCAATCAAAAAAATCCAGGACCAGACAGATTCACAGCCAAAATCTACCAGAGGTACAAAGAGGAGCTGGTACATTCCTTCTAAAACTATTCCAAACAATAGAAAAAGAGGGAATCTTCCCTAACTCATTTTAGGAGACCAGCATCATCCTGATACCACATCCTGATACCAAAACCTGGCAGAGATACCAAAACCTGGCAGAGACACAACAAAAAAAAAAAAAAAAAAAAAATTTCAGGCCAATATCCCTGATGAACATCGATGAGAAAATCCTCAATAATGGCAAACCGAATCCAGCAGCACATCAAAAAGCTTATCCACCACGATCAAGTCAGCTTCATCCCTGGGATGCAAGGCTGGTTCAACATATGCAAATCAATAAACGTAATCCATCACATAAACAGAACCAATGACAAAAACCACAGGATTGTCTCAATAGAAGCAGAAAAGACCTTTGACAAAAGTCAACAGCCCTTCAAGCTAAAAACTCTCGATAAACTAGGTATTAATGGAACATATCTCAAAATAGTAAGAGCTGTTTATGACAAACCCACAGCCAACATCATACTGAATGGGCAAAAACTGGAAGCATTCCCTTTTAAAACCAGCACAAGACAAGGATGCCCTCACTCACTACTCCTATTAAACATAGTATTGGAAGTTCTGGCCAGAGCAATCATGCAAGAGAAAGAAATAACGGGTATTCAATTAGGAAAAGAGGAAGTCAAATTGTCTCTGTTTGCAGATGACATAATTGTATATTGAGAAATACCCATTGCCTCAGCCCAAAATCTCCTTAAGCTGATAAGCAACTTCAGCAAAGTCTCAGGATACAAAAATCAATATATCACAAGCATTCCTATACAGAATCAAAAATCACAAGCATTCCTATACACCAATAACAGACAGTCAAATCATGAGTGAACTCCCATTCTCAATTGCTACAAAGAGAATAAAATATCAAGAAATACAACTTACAAGGGATGTGAAGGACTTCGAGAAAAACTACAAACCACTGCTCAAGGAAATAAGAGAGGACACAAACAAATGGAAAAACATTCCATGCTCATGGATAGGAAGAATCAATATTGTGAAAATGGCCATACTGCCCAAAGTAATTTATAGATTCAACGCTACCCCCATCAAGCTACCATTGACTTTCTTCACAGAACCGGAAAAAACTACTTTAAATTTCATATGGAACCAAAAAAGAGCCCACATAGCCAAGACAATCCTAAGCAAAAAGAACAAAGCTGGAGGCATCATGCTACCTGACTTCAAACTATACTACAAGGCTACAGTAACCAAAACAGCATGGTACTGGTACCAAAATAGATATATAGACCAATAGAACAGAACAGAGGCCTCAGAAATAACACCACACATATACAACCATCTGATCTTTGACACACCTGACAAATACAAGAAATGGGGAAAGGATTCCCTATTTAATAAATGGTGCTGGACTGGCTAGCCATATGCAGAAAGCTGGAACTGGATCCCTTCCTTACACCTTATACAAAAATTAACTCAAGATGGATTAAAGACTTAAATGTAAGATCTAAAACCATAAAAACCCTAGAAGAAAACCTAGGCAATACCATTCAGGACATGGGCATGGGCAAAGACTTCATGACTAAAATACCAAAAGCAATGACAACAAAAGCCAAAATAGACAAATGGGATCTAATTAAACTAAAGAGCTTCTGCACAACAAAAGAAACTATCAGCAGAATGAACAGGCAACCTACAGACAGGAGAAAATTTTTGCGATCTATCCATCTGACCAAGTGCTAATATCCAAAATCTACAATGAACTTAAATTTACAAGAAAAAAACAACCCCATCAAAAAGTGGGCAAAGGATATGAACAGATACTTCTCAAAAGAAGACATTTATGCAGCCAACAAACATATGAAAAAAGGCTCATCATCACTGGTCATTAGAGAAATGCAAATCAAAACCATATTGAGATACCATCTCACTCCAGTTAGAATTGTGATCATTAAAAAGTCAGGAAACCACAGATGTTGAAGTGGATGTGGAGAAACAGGAATGCTTTTACACTATTGGTGGGAGTGTAAATTAGTTCAACCATTGTGGAAGACAGTGTGGTGATTCCTCAAGGATCTAGAACCAGAAATACCATTTGACCCAGGAATCCCATTACTGGGTATATACCCAAAGGATTATAAATCATTCTACTATAAAGACTCATGCACATGTATGTTTATTAAGGCACTGTTCACAATAGCAAAGACTTGGAACCAACCCAAATGCCCATCAATGATAGACTGGATAAAGAAAATGTGGCACATATACACCATGGAACACTATGCAGCCATAAAAACTGATGAGTTTATGTCCTTTGCAGGGACCTGGATGAGGCTGGAAACCATCATTCTCAGCAAACTAACACGGGAACAGAAAACCAAACACCGCATGTTCTCATTCATAAGTGGGAGGTGAACAATGAGAACACATGGACACAAGGAGGGGAACATCACACACTGGGGCCTGTCAGGGGTTGAGGGGCTAGGGAAGGGATAGCATTAGGAGAAATACCTAATGTAGATGACGGGTTGATGGGTGCAGCAAACTACCATGGCACGTGTATACCTATGTAACAAACCTGTACGTTCTGCACAAGTACCCTAGAACTTAAAGTATAACAAAAAAAAAAAGAAAGTAATGGGTAACAGATCCTCTCTGAAGATTATATCTACTTTATAATTCAACTAACTCATACTTACGAGGTTTATTCAACATCAAAACATGAACAAATTCCAAATTGCTAAAAGCTAAATGAGTTTTTATTACATTCTCATTAAGAAACAAAGATGGGCCGGGCGTGGTGGCTCACGCCTGTAATCCCAGCACTTTGGGAGGCCAAGGCGGGCAGATCACGGGGTCAGGAGATCGAGACCATCCTGGCTAACATGGTGAAACCCCGTCTCTACTAAAAAAAATACAAAAAATTAGCCGGGAGTGGTGGCAGGCTCCTGTAGTCCCAGCTACTCCGGAGGTTGAGACAGGAGAATGGCGTGAACCCGGGAGGCAGATCTTGCAGTGAGCCGAGTTCACACCACTGCACTCCAGCCTTTGCGACAGAGCAAGAGTCAGTCTCAAAAAAAAAAAAAAAGAAATAAAGATGGAGGTTAGGTTTATAACAGGAATAATTCTTGAGGGCTGAATAATACAATAATTCTCAAAGACAGGTGTTTTAATCCTCTCCACATCTTCCCCATCTCAGTAAAGAGCACAACTGTCTAACCAGCTATTTAAGCTAAAAATCTAGGAGTCAACCTTGATTCCTTTCTTTGCATAGGTTTAATAAAATACCATTACTTCATCTGAGTCACATATATATGGAATATACATATGGAATATGTGCATACACGCACACATATATAGATGGAATAAGAAATTGTCACTAAATATAGTGGTATGGCACTGGAAACCAGTCTCAAACTTCTCCCTTCTCCAAATACACACCCACACACCCACATTTATATTCTCATTTATCCTCCCCACAACCCCATGGTTAGTCATTATTCTATTCCTTCTCCCAACAGTGGCTAAGAATTGCTGCATTGTGGCTCAGGATTGCTGCCTCATGGCACAGGAATTTTGATTAGGGAGTAGGGGAATGGGCAGGCAGTGTACTAGGTAATTTTGGAACACACTGTATCTTTGGGAGAGAGCAGGCCATAAATGAGACAGAGGAGTACTTAAAACCACAAGAAAACACTGGGTTCCTGCAGAGAGGCTCTGGGATGGAAGATACCACAGAAAGTAAAGAAGCCAAGTACTAACTACACTTTTTGGGTTTTTTTGTTTGTTTTTTTTTTCGAGACAGAGTTTCACTCTTTCACCCAGGCTGGAGGGAAGTGCCGTGATCTCGGCTCACTGCAACCTCTGTCCCCCAGGTTCAAGTTATTCTCCTGCCTCAGCCTCCCAAGTAGCTGGGATTATAGGTGCCTGCCACCATGCCTGGCTAATTTTAGTAGACGGAGTTTACTCATGTTGGCCAGGCTGGTCTCGAACTCCTGACCTCAGGTGATCCACCTGCCTCAGACTCCCAAAGTGCTGGGATTACAGGTGTAAGCCACAGGTGCCCAGCCAAATCTCACTCTTTTGCACAGGCTGGAGTGCAGTGGCACAATCTCTACTTACTCTCACCTCCACTTCCCGGGTTCAAGCAATTCTCCTGCCTCAGCCTCCTGAGTAGCTGAGATTACAGGCACACACCACCACACCTGGCTAATTTTTTTGTATTTTTAGTATAGACAGGGTTTCACCATGTTGGCCAGGCTGGTCTTGAACTCCTGACCTTAAGTGAACCACCTGCCTCAGCCTCCCAAATTGCTGGGATTACAGGTGTGAGCCACCGCACCTGGCCTAACCATACATTTCTAAGTTTTGTTTAGAGAAGACCTTGGATCCAGGAAAGGAGAGAAAGCTTTATACTATCCTCTGCTTGCTCCCAGAACCCAGGCTAGTAGCAAAGTTCTAGGGTCCATCTGCCTTAAGGAAAAATTAGCTCTTGTGTTTTAATCTAGGAATAAAATCACATTTATCCCTATGCCTGGCACATAGCAGACACCGAGTCAATGTTTACTGAACATATTTCTTGAAAGTTCCACACTAGCCTTACTTCTCCCTGTTGCCCTCTACTCTCCTGCTGAACTGATTCAAGTATTCCCCACACTAGCTGCCTCCGAGCCTATGCTCTGCCCTTTCCTCCTCTGAAAATGCCTTCCTCCCTGCCCTCTCAGAGCCAAGTTCAACTGTCACTTATTCCATCAAGCTCCCTCTGATCCCTGCCATCAGCAAACGTCCTGATTCTGAGACCATGTCATCTGTTCCACATTACAGCACTTTCCCCTTCTAACACCTGTATCACATACATGACTTCTGTCTTCTGCTAGCATGAGAGCCTGCTTGAGGGGTGAGACATGATGGCTTGCTTTTCTATTCTCCAGATCACATACAGATTTTTGGTTATACAAACACAAGCTTTACTAACTTCAGAAACAAGCCAAAAGAAAACACAATGAGCTTGTTTTTTTTTTTCTGACTGTATATGTGTGTATTGTTCTACTAATTAGTATGATTTACCACCCTAATTCATGCAGTGACTGTGATGAGTATGCAGTATCTGATTCCAGAGTCTTGGGTCTGAAAACTAGGGAACAGTGATGCCTGAATCCTATCATTGGTCAAACACACAGTTATTTTTATCGCAATCAAACTTACCTCATTTGCTAAGGCAAAAGTTCCCCAGTGAATTGCCATAGATTTCTTTGTTTGGACATCAATGTGAATCCTTACAGCTTCTTCTGGGTCTACATGCTGGTATTTCATAAACCACCTGATGAAACAAGGCAATTTCTTAATTCTGACCTTTGAGATAGATATACACTAAATTCTAAAATCTGTTTCATTTAATCAAACTTTAAGATTCTGTGCAGGACTGTGGATGTTGAGAATTAAGAACCACTCACTGGGATAAAGCATGCAATTTTGGGGAGGATGAGCTAGAAACCAAGTCTGAAGGTCAGGTCAAGGCTAGATTGTAAAAACAAAACAAAACAAATTCTGCACAGGAGTAAGTCACAGGAGCAAAACCATCTCCCTTTAATACACTTTCTGCTGAAAAATAAAACAAGCAAAAGTCTTTTTTGTACAAATTGCTATAAAATAAGTAAGTCTCAAGCAAACTCCCCTCTGAATAGTGAGATTTTTGTTTCATGTATACTTTGATTTTACTGGATCTATCTGAAGACACAATTTACTGATGATGCAGGGGAGGCAAGCCCCAAAACTGGGGCTTAGCCCAGGAGGGTTTTTGGCCTCACAAAGGAAAGAATTCAAGGGCAAGCCAGTGGTGTTGGCCAGCAATTTTTATTAAATGATACTGCTCCTTGCGGAGCAGGGCTAAGTTATAGGCAGTAAGTGCACTCAGAGTTGGCAACATATGAGGGGTTGGCAACTGTATTTATACTCACTTATGCCCACTTCTAATTATATGTAAATTAGGGAATGGGTTAATACAAATTGAAGGGCAGATTATTTAGAACTTTCTAGGAATGGGGTGGTAACTTCTTGATCATTGCCATGGAAAGGGGCAGTAATTTATTTCTAGGTTGTTGCCATGGCATTTGTAAACTGTCATGGTGATGGTGGGAGTGTCTTAGGCTAATGAGCAATGAGGGCAGGTAGGGATCACTTTTGTCACCATCTGCTGGTTTTTGCCAGTTTTTTCTTTTTTTTTTTTCTGAGACTGAGTCTCACTCTGTTGCCCAGGCTAGAGTGCAGTGCCATGATCCCAGCTCACTGCAACCTCCACCTCCTGGGTTCAAGCGATTCTCCTGCCTCAGCCTCCCGAGTAGGTGGGACTATAGGCACGTGCCACCACACCCAGCTAATTTTTTGTATTTTTAGTAGAGATGGGGTTTCACCATGTTAGCCAGGATGGTCTTGATCTCCTGACCTTGTGATCTGCCTACCTCCGCGTCCCAAAGTGCTGGGATTACAGACGTGAGCCAGTGTGCCCAGCTGCCAGTTTTTTTACTTTATCCATTGAGACTGGGAAATAAGTCCTGACTCACTGTTACTTTTAAAAGTAGATATTTTACAGTCCTGGATATGAATCAAAGAAACTGAATAGTTGGTAAAGAAATAAAAACCAAAACTCCAATTACAAAAGAATTTGTATGTCCTGCTGATACAAATTTGTAAAAACTTGCTAAAGCAAAAATAAACAAAAACTAGTACATAAAATTTAAAGACCAGGAGCCAAAATATCCAATTACTATTCAAGAAATTTTATTTAACCATAAAACTGAACAATGAGGTGTTCGGTTTGGCAAGAACATCAGACTAATGGGTAAATGATTAAGGAAATAATGAAAGGCTGCCTAATGCCTTGGGAAGAGCAAGGGCTCAGGAGGCAGAAGGCTTGGGTGTGAATCCCAGCTCCTGCAGTTCTTAGAATGCCTTTGGAAAGTCTGTTCAAATTCTCTGAGCTTCTATTTCTTTGTCCATGAAATATAAATTTACCCCATTATGTGAGGATTAAACAAGACAAGGCTTAGGAAGGCATAGAGAACATCATCTACTTTCATAGAATTCTCCCAAGAGTAAACAAAACCAATACTTTCAGAAGAAAGAAGTATTATTCCTGATACAAAGGAGAAAGTGTACTGTCTACAAGCAAATCCTTTGCCTTCCAAGCCATCAGTTTCAAGGAGGAAAAACAACACTGTGTTCACATTATTTACATCCTAGTCTGCCAGTGACAACTAACACTACAGTGAAGACCAACAGACATGGATTCAGCACAGGAGCTTCCACACTTTACAGAAGGCATCATGGAGAAGTTTATCCATCTGCAACAGATATTTACTGTTAGGAGCTGCTGGGTCCTACAGAAGCCTGAAAACAAAGCCACTGTGTTCTCAACAGCAAATGAGAGCAGCACTGTTCTGCCATATCTCCTGACTCTTGGAATTCAGGGAAAGATGAAAATGGTTTTTGCTGTTTCTCTCTTGATATTTTTTAAATCCTAGTGCAAATCAAAGGGATAGATACATTCCTTTCCACCTGAAATAGATTTAAAATTTTTATTCTGATATAACAATTAAAATAAAAACTTAAAATCTTAACTGACTCGGATAGAATACCTGGTGACAGGAGATTCCCTAAAGAAAGAATGAAACATTCTAAGCATCTTATTGAAAGTTGTTTTCGGTGTAAACATCTTAAATTTATACAGCACTCTCAAGCTTTATTCGATGTCTTATTTCTAAAGCCATTAATAGTAACCAAAGAAACAGATTACACATTAGAGGCTCTCACAATTTAACTCTCTTGGGGCAAATAATAGCCTCCTTGTCTTTTTCCCATCTTAGTTGTTTCCTGTTTGCCTGCAACGCAAGCAGGAAAGGGGATTATGTGAGTAAATTTGGTTGTACACATTCTGTCATCACAAATATATGTGACAAATTTATATATTACTACATATGAAAACTTATTTTCATAACAACAAATAAAAGATGTTCTAATCTATTAAGAACATACATCAGGCTGGGTATGGTGGCTCACGCCTGTAATCCTACCACTTTGGGAGGCCCAGGCAGGCAGATTACTTGAGGTCAGGAGTTCAAAACCAGTCTAGCCAACATGGTGAAACCCTGTCTCTACTAAAAACACACACACAAAAACTAGCCGGACATGGTGGCAGGCACCTGTAGTCCCAGATACTTGGGAGGCTGAGGCAGAAGAATCACTTGGACCCAGGGGCAGAGGTTGCAGTGAGCCAAGATCACGCCACTGCATTCCAACCTGGGCAAGAGAGTAAGACTCCGTCTCAAACAAACAAACAAAAAAAGGAACATACATCAAGTACAGACCAATTTTATGTTACAAATATAAAACTGATTTGTAACAGTTCTAAAAATATACAAGTTGACAGGTTTTGAGAGGTTTCGTTAGAATTATAACTAATTAGAAAAGTAAAATTGAAGCGCCAATATTGATTTGTAATCATTTTAACAATTATCAAGAACCAAAAAAGGATAAAAATATCTAGCCCCTCCAAATAAGGAAACTAGCAAAAAACAAAAAAGGGATAAATAAGCATTAATAAATAAAAATAGGGACAAAATGGTTTTAGTGAATGTAAAAATTTAGCAAATAACAAAATCGGATGAAAACAAAAGATTAGATTCATTCAATTAATCTATGTATTAGAGAAATACTTGTTCTTCTGCTTATGGAATTACCTAAACAAAATGTTTTTGTATGTATCTGTCCATGCACTATAGAATAAAATATTTTTTAAATTATCCATTGCTTTGTTACTATCAGTGTTTTGTTTTCTCTTTATTTGCACATATAAACCAGAGTTGACTGAAATCTAATTTAATTCTTTGAAATCACTTCTCTTTTCCCTAAACAGAGAATATTAAGGAAACGAAGACAGTGGATGAGTCTCCTTGGTGTCCAATGAGAGTGCGACCTTTCGCTGCCCTGAAACAGGTCATTAGTATGTCAAGGTTGGAGGATGAGTAATGAGTAGCACAACAACACCATGACCAGATTAACTTCAGTGCTGACTGAAATAAAACAATCAGCAAGGACTAATGCTATAGGCCAATTCCCTGCTTTTTCTCTTTGCTAAACGTAAGAGAGCTATAGGACAGGGGATTGGGGCACTCAAGTTATGGAGCAAAAAGTGGTTATATAAAGAAAGTATTCTCCATGTAAAAGAACAAGAGTAGGTTTTATCACTGGCTGACCAGTGTAGTTGAATGGTATGTGAACTTCTGGCTAGCTATAGTAATTCTTTAAACCTTGATCCTTTTTTTATGATAACATCATCCCTGATTTTGAGTAATTTTTTTAACTGATACAACTATAATTAAAATATTTTAATTCTCACCACAAAAACATAAGTATGAGATAATGCACATGTAAAACAGTTTGATTTAGTCATTCCATAATGCATACATATATCAAAACATCATGTTGCACACCGTATACACAATTTTTACTTGCCAATTTAAAAAATATTTAATTTAAAATATTTAAAAATAAAATCTAACTGAATCTGACCCACCGACCCCCAATCATGTATAACAAAGTCCACCATTAAAATCATAAATTACAGTGTCACAAAAATCATAATTGCTTTACTTTTAAATTCAGTTAACTTACCACATAGCAGGAGTGTTTTCTTTGGAAGTCTACATACCTTGGTTCATAAGCTCCGATGGGAATAGCTGCAAGGTCAAAAGGTCCAAATCTTTTTCCTATCTCTTCAAAAGCAGGGCAATAACCAGTATCTCCTGCAAAAAAAAATCTATTCCAAGGCCCCAAGACAGACCAGCTGCCCCACAGCACCTTGTTGTCATCCATTAGAGTCCTTTTACACCAGTGCTGGGAAGGTGTAAAGACAAAGGTGACCTTATCATGTCCGGGGACACAATTCTCCTCCCACCAGTCCAACTCAATCACATTCTCACAGCCACATTTTTGCATCCAGTCAAGAAGACCCAAAGGCACAAACCATCTCAACTCGTTACCAAATCGCTCATTCAAAGCAATGACAGAATTGTAGTCCAGATGGTCATAGTGGTTGTGACTGATAAGGACCGCATCTATTGGAGGGAGTTCACTTATTGTGCACGGGGAACGACGAAATCGCTTTGGACCCATGTACTGCGATGGTGAAGCACGAGAGCTAAAGATGGGATCCGTGAGAAATATGAGCTCATCCATTTCCACCATTACAGTGGCATGTCCCAGCCATGTGACTCTTAAGCCAGCTTCCCTCACTCCAGCTTCTTCAGGGTTAGTGATAAAATATGGCTTAAGCACTGGGAGTTCTTTGTCAAGTTCCTTTGTGTATAAAGAAAGCAAGACAAAAGAGTAGTTAGAAAAAAAAGTATTATATCATCATAGTCCACATTTTGACCTAAATAACAGCAAGAAGAGCTATTTTCAGAGAACTAAAGTTATTTAATAAACTTGCTACACTTTTGCTTTTTTCTTGAAAATGCATACTTCTTTCTGAATCTGACTTAATAATCACGATAATATGGTAATCTTCTTCATCCCAAATGCAAAAGGGAAAATTAAATTTAAAACTCTGAGTGCTGCTAAATGTATTAATTTTTTAAAGGCTCTCTTCAGTAGTGCCAGAAGTAGACTGGCCTAGATGCAGTCATTTTTTTATTGCCATTCTACTCAGCTGATGTATGTGCTGCTAAAAACTGCCTTAAAAGCGGGTCAGTCCCTGGAAATAGTAAAGAAAGCTTATGACCATTTATTTGTAGCTCTTGGATTTCAGACATGAATCATGAATCTGATATTTTTCTTTTTTGTTTGTTTGAGACAGGCTCTCGCTGTGTTACCCAGGCTGGAGTGCAGTGGCATAATCAGAGCTCTCTACAGCCACAACCTCCCAGGGTCAAGTGATCATCCCACCTCAACCTCTCAGCTGGGATCACAGGCACGCAGCACCACCATATCCAGCTAATTTTTTATTTTTTGTAGAGATAGGGTCTCATTATGTTGCCCAGATTGGTCTTGAACTCCTGGGCTCAAGCAATCGTCCTGGCCTGCCCTCCCAAAGTGCTGGTATTATAGGCATGAGCCACTGTGCCTGGCCTGAATCTCACTTTCTGAGTTTCAAAATGGAGCGCTGTGATGATTCCTGGACAAATCACAGTCATAAATTGTTTTCCTCATTCCTTACCTTTCTGATTTTCTACCATTGATCAAACCAACGTGAATATGATCCCTTCCTGTGAGAAGCTGATCACTGAGGTAAGGGGGGTGGTAAATGGGTATAAAACAATAACAAAGTGTGAAGAGTATTATTCCTTGCTTATTCTACATTTTATACTTGGATTAAGCTAGGCCAAAACGTTGTAGGCTGCAGCGTCACAGTCTTGGCTTTTATAAAGCTCTTTTACTGAATTGTGCTCTGGTACCATGCTATATAGCTGCATGGAGGTCTCTCATAGGAAGCCACCTCATGAAACTTGCCATGCATGTGTTCAGGCTGCAGACTTGGTACCACCTCCACCTTCCTACTTACCCCAGAAACATTTCTCTCCCATCTCGTAACAGGAAAAACTCTCCTTCTCCAGAGCACCTGGCTTTGTCATTTCTGTCACTGGGAAAACTCTTAAGATTTCATGCTACTTCTCCCTTTAACTAGGAAGTTCAGAGGAAAAGCTGAGGCCACCTGCAGCAATGTGCAGCACATGATGGAACATATTTCTGTATTAACTTTATTCTTGGCTTTATTTTATTTCTCTAGTCTAATAGTCCATTTTGCTCCTAGACTGGCTAGGTATAGTAATTCTATACCTCATCCATTTCTTGTTTTACTGCTTTATGTATGTTTGTAAGTTGCCACTAAATCAACTTTGAAAGGGTGTGGTATTGGCTAAGTAGTTAAAATACAGGTCATGTTATAGCCTGATAAGAAGGAATGAAGAGCCCAGTTGCCAAGGACATCACAGACACAGTGACTTGTGTGAGTTCCTGAAGAATGATGAGAAATTCATGATGCAGAAAAAAGGAAGAAGGGCATTTCAGGTAGAGAAACTACCCAAGCAAAGGTACAGAGCCAAACAGGAATGTGGTGTTTGAGGGGGACAAACTAAATCTATAAAGATGGAAACACAATAAGCCTTGAGTGTCACGCTTCACTCTAAGACAATGAGGAAGCATCTTTTTTTTTTTTTTTTGTAGAGACAGGGTGGGTTTTTCCATGTTGCCCAGGCTGGTGTCGAACTCCTGGGCTGAAGCGATCTGCTTCCCAAAGTGCTAGGATTACAGGTGTGAGCCACCACACCCAGCCTAGGAAGTATCTTCTTGCCCTTACACGTACACACACACGTACACATGCACACACACAGGCACACACACACACACACACACACAAAGACATGACCCAATTATGTTTAGATGAAACAATTCTAGAGTCCAAATGATGGCATGGAGAGTGTCACAACAGTTGCCAGGACATGAAGAGATGAGGACCTGAGCAAAGGAGACAGCGGTAGACAGAGACAAGAGAGGACAGATAGGGAGATACTGGTGAAGGGAAACTGAGAGGTCAATGGGAGAGTCTGAATGGGAAGGAGGCCTGGACAGGAAGAGAAGGAGCAGCACAGGTGGAGGACAAAAACGTTTCTCTTAGCCACTCTAACCTTTAGTTTCCTCATCTGAAAAACGGGTATAATAATTGTACCTACACTTCATTCCTGTGAGGATAGAATTAGGAGTGGCTGGGACATAATAAGCACTCTACAAGTATTCCAAAAGAAGAAGCAAGCAAGTTCCAACCCTGACAACCAACCAGGCACCAATCCTACCAATCTTTTGCATTTCTGTGGCGCTACTAACCTAGTTAAGATGCTAAGAAATATTCAGACATTCAAAGCTCTCCAGATTGCTCAACTATCTGCCTGTCAACTCAATCCATGCAGAAGAGCCACCTCAAAAACAGCCAATTTAAGGTATAACTTAAGTCTCCTCTGCTGCAAAATCTCCACTGGCTCTCTACTGCCTGACAAGGTCTGTCTCACCTCCTCAGCCCAGCAGTGAGCTGCCCAGGGACTGCCCCAGTTCTCTCGGGTTGTTTCATGCTCCTCTTTCACATGTGCTGTGCCCCATCTACATGGAGACTGCTTCCCACTCCTAGACTGAGCTCAAGAATCCTGCACAGTATTCATCCCATTTCTCAGGTTAAATTATCTTCCCCCTTATCCCTTCGGGCCATCTCTTGAGTCCCACAGCTGGAAGCACTCACTCCTGCCTCTCAACTTCCGTATCTCCCTATTCACACATCTCCTCTGGATATTCTGGTTATAGGTACACAGAATTTATCCTATGTCCTATGAAAGGTAGAATCATTCAGTGCTTAGTTTGATTAATGAAACACAGCATGTGCTCAACAAAATTTGTTGAATGGATGAGTAAATGAACGAATGTCAACTTTCAATCAGTTCTTAAAATTGGTAGTTAGGGTTAGTGAACAATGATATATGCCAAGTGGTATATACAGAATTAATGAGGAAAGGGAGAGGGAATGAATATAAACTGAGTACCTACTATGTACTCATATTTGGCATCATATTGGGCACATAATGATGATGAACTACCTAATGTATCAAGTACTTTAGCATAACACAAAACAAAATACTATTAACAATAGCTACTGTTTATGAAGTGCTTATGTGCTAGACACTGTACTAACTGCTACTGGCTACTGACCACAACACTGGAAGTAGGTCCTATAAACCAGCTCCATTCTACAGGTAAGAAAACCATGAATTAGGGAAGTTACAGCACTCAGGCAAGGTCACCCAGCCAGACCCACTGTAGTAAAACATACTTCTTCTCATTAAATCTCATTTAATAACATGTTTTCTTAAAAAGTAACAGCCTGGGGTCCAGGTTGGGAGAATAAGGGGGTATGAATTTCAAAAGAACACAAGGAAACTTTAGGGGATAATATATATGTTCATTATCTTGATTGTGGTGATCTTTTCAAGGGTATATACATATGTCAAAACTCATTAAGTTGTACATTTTAAATATGTGAAGCCTATATTATGTTAAAACTATTTTTAAAATTTTAAGGCTGGTGCTGTGGTACATGCCTGTAATCCCAACACTTCAGGAGGCCTAGGCCAGAAAACTGCTTGAGGCCAGTAGTTCAAGACCAGCAGGGCAACATAGTGAGATCCTGCCTCTATTAAAAAATAATAATAATAAATAATAATTTAAAAATAATAATAGACCGGGCACAGTGGCTCACGCCTATAATCCCAGCACTTTGGGAGGCCGAGGTGGGTGGCTCACCTGAGGTCGGGAGTTCAAGACCAGTCTCACCAATATGGAGAAACCATGTCTCTACTAAAAATACAAAATGAGCCAGGTGTGGTGGTGCATGCCTGTAATTCCAGCTACTCGGGAGGCTGAGGCAGGAGAATCACTTGAACCCAGGAGGCAGAGGTTGCAGTGAGCCGAGATCATGCCACTGCACTCCAGCCTGGGCAACAAGAGCAAAACTCCGTCTCAAAAAAAAAAAGAAAGAAAGAAAGAAAGAAAAAACATACAGAAAAAGGGGTAGGGAGAGGATGGACTCTTGTTTACTTGGTGAAACCAATCACTCACGTGGCATTTTCATGGCTAGATCAAGACTTTCTTGGCTGGTCTTCCTTTTTGAAAGCTGCAAAATGGAAAATCCCAAGACTCATAATTAACCACTATACTAGTTAATGTTTTACTTTTCTTGGGAAAAGGGAACAAATCCTAACATTTGTTCAATAGCTACTCTTTGCAAGGTGCTTTAGGTACACTGTGTCATCTACATTTGTGAAGCAAATATTACTGCCATTTTACAGATGACCAGACCAAGGCAGACTGGGGTCACTAAGAAACTTGCCAAAGTCATACAAGAGGTAAGTACCCAATCAGGAGTGAAATCTAGGTCTTCCTGACTCAAAAGACCTCTCTTTCACTAAGCCATGCTCCTTCAATGGCATACATATTAACTTACATTAAAATTAAACATTGAAACTCATATCTTCTTAATATACTTACTATTTTAAGAGTATGTGTTTGTGTGTATTAATGAGACAAAAAAGAAAGATGTGACTCAAATCCTTTTAAACCATGTTTTTAAAATATCACTTTTAAAGAAGACAAGGTAATACTTTCCTTCCAACTGAAGGTACATTTTCACCATCTTAGAACACTTTACTACCTATACTGTAGTTTGCAACTCAGATTTTTAAATTTAAAAATAACATTTTTCTTTTTCATATGTATAAGATATATGTGAACACTGAATAAAGATACATGTGTTACCAAAATAACTCCAATTCAATTAAGTACTGATGCTAATGTTTGACATTTTTGCCATGTGTATTAAGAGTATAAGATCTATCAAAATGGCTTAGTATTTTTAAACTCCTTGATTATAAGAGAAAATGCTCTTAATATTTGGAAAATGCAGAAAAATATAAATAGTTGCATCATTATACCAACATGCAGAGATTATAACCACTGCTAACATTATGATCTGTACTTGTAGTTCTATTTATGAATGGTTGCAATCAGAGTATTCATATTTTCTAGTTTTATAAAAAATTGTATATGGTGACATTTTCAGTCATCCCTACGACTCTATGAGATACAAGATTTAAAAATGAAACAAACAGGGCCAGGCACAGTGGCTCACGCCTGTAATCCCAGCACTTTGGGAAGCCAAGGCAGGTGGATCACCTGAGGTCAGCAGTTCGAGACCAGCCTGGCCAAACACAGTGAAACCCCGTCTCTACTAAAAATACAAAAAAAAATTAGCCAGGCATGGTGGTAGGCGCCTATAGTCCTAGCTACTCGCAAGGCTGAGGCAGGAGAATCGCCTGAAGTCAGGAGGCAGAGGTTGCAGTGAGCCGAGACTGCGCCAGTGCACTCCAGCCTGGGCAAAAAGAATGAGACTCCGTCTCAAAAATAATAATAATTAAAAAAATGAAACAAATTATTGAGGAAATTGTTCAGAATGTAAATTTGTTTTGAATTGCCAAAATTTATTAAAATTGAAAGACATTGTTTAATTAATCTTCTCTGCCATGAAACTCCATCAGGCTGTCTACAAAAACCACTGGGAGGCTGAGGGTCACTAGAGCCCGGGTGTTTGAGGCTGTAGTGATGAGTCTCAAAGCTCTACTGCACTCCAGCTTGGGTGACAGAGTGAGACCCTATCAAGGGGTAAGCTGCATGCTTGCTTGCTATCTGTGGTCATTAAAATCCTAGACGTCTCTAGGAAATCAGGTCTGCCTGCACTTCTCGGAGACAAGCATGAATTTTTAGTTTTTTGCTTCTTTAAAACTTGCTGCATGTGCACTGTTGTCAAGCCGATTCTCTATACCTTTAAAAGGTCTCCAAAAATCTGCACTCAATCAATGGATAAAAACATTACCAATAATAAAACCATAAAGCTAGTCTAGACAAGTGAGATTCTATCATTTCAAGTTCCAGGTTTCCGTTTAATGCCTGTGTGCCAATGGCTGGAGTTAGGCTTGCTCTTTAGGACCTCAGCAGTTATTCTCATCCCTCCTTTGGGACACAACTGTCCATAAGGCACCATCAAAAGCCACACTGCATCTGCACCTAGCATCATTCCTCCCAGGGGCCGACTCCTCAGAATGTAATTTTTTTTTTTTTTTTTTTTTTTTTTTGAGACAGGGTCTTGCTCTGTCACCCAGGCTGGAGTGTAGTGGCGTGATCTCGGCTTACTGCAACTTTTGCCTCCCAGGCTCAGGTGATTCTCCTGCCTCAGCCTCCCAAGTAGCTGGGATTACAGGCACATTCTATTGCGCCTGGCTAAATTTTGGGGGGTTTTTTTGTTGTTGTTGTTTTTGGTAGAGATGGCATTTTGCTATGTTGCCCCGGTTGGTCTCGAACTCCTCAGCTCAAGCAATCCACCTGCCTTGGCCTCCTAAAGTATGGGTATTACAGGCATGAGCCACTGCACCTGGCCATGTAATATTTTTAAAAAGATAAACACACAAGAAATTTTCTTAAATTACAGAGGATTGATCCAGGAGGTCCAAAATAGAACTACTATAACTAATAGTCATTTTAGAATAAGAAGATGTAGGGAAGGACATTTTCAAAGATATAGACGAAATTTCCTAGAACTGAAGGAAATGGATTTTCAGACTGAAAGGGCCCACCACACACAGAGCATAATGAATAAATAAAGAACTACACATCATGGCAATTTTCAGAACACTAGTACCAAAGAGAGGATTCTCAAAGTCTCTAGAGAGAAAACAAAGGGTCTGTTCAAAGGATCAAGAGTAAGGATGGCACTGAGCTTCCCCACAGCCACACTAGAAATAAAATTATGGAGGCAATACTCTCAAATTCTGAGAGAAAACTGTTTCCAAACAAAAATTCTATACCCAAACTATCAATTATGAGTGAGAATAAAGACATTTCAGACAAGCAAGTTTTCAAAAAACTTACTTTCCATATACCCTTTCTCGGGAAGTTCACTGAAAATATGTTCCACCAAAATGAGAAAATGACACAGAAGGAGGAACAAGTGGGATGCAGAAAATAAGGGCTACCATAGAAGACACAGGGGAGCCCAGGAGGCTGGTGAAGGGTACCCTAGAACAGAAGCCGGCAGAGACCCTGGGAAGGCATCAGCTCAGACTACAGCCCAGTGCCGAACGACCACCTGAGAGTCTTTCCCTCAGGAAAATGGCACTGAGAGGCCAGGGGAGGCAGGAAAATAATCGTCATAAATACACAGAAAGTCAAGCAAATGAAAGAGATGTTATTAACACGGCAGAGGGAGAGGTATATAAGGAAAGGAGACACAGCCATAGTATTTACTTGGTTCACCAATGAAAAATATTGATATACTCAATGTAAACCATGAAATCAACTTAACCCAAAACTGTGATCTATCTATTCTAACAGAATAGCAGAAGGCCAAGTAGAATCATCTTAAGTAAAACTAGTATGTTTAAAGGCTAGGAACCCAGAGTCAACTTTTCAAGGTCTGGAAAGGTCATCTGAAGCTCCCTTTCACAGTGTTGGCAGCTTTATCTAAGGGTTAAAAGCCAAGCACTCTAGGCCATGCCTTCACCCTCATAATCCATATTCCACACACATACCAGGCTACTACCTTCCAGAGCATGTAATACACTTTCTCACCTTCATGACCTTGTTCATGCCATCATCTACCTGGAAAATCACTGTCAAAATACTTTTTAGTTGGCTAGGCCCAGCTGAAATACTCATCTCCTCTGTGAAGACATCTCCAGCTCTGCCTGTCAGCATCACGTTCCTTCCTGTACCTCTAAAGCACTCTGTTCCTACCTCTAGTTGCCACCAGATCAGGTCTGGTTATTCCTATATGCACTCTGTTACTGAATGGTGAACTTTAGGGCCTAGGTTACACCTGTCCACTTTATCTCCTCAGACTAATTCTACGCCTTATGATATATAAGGGCTCAAATAATTAGTCATATATTAAGAGCAAATATAAAGCATTCAAAAAAGCCAAGCGCCACCTCTTTAGAACTTGGAACACCGCTGTGATCTTTCTCCATTATCAGCCATCTGAGAACATTTGGAATAGAGAGGTTTTTCCACGTTGGCCACGGATTCACAAATCTCCCATCTTTTCCTTTCTTGGATTTAGTTACATCTTCTTCTAGTCTATAATCTAGTTTGAAGCTTTTCCTGGAAAACCTAGAAGAATCACTTCCTCTGGAATTCCGTGCTGAATTTTGACGTTTTCTTACTGCTTCTTTAGGATATTGGCTGCTTGTCATCAGGGACTGGTTGCTTTCATTTTCATCCATGTCCTTTGGTGAAGAACTGAAAAAAAGGGGGAAAAATACTGAGTTGAACATAAAGATAGTCAAACATAACACAAGGTACCATTTGTTAGCCAATAAAAATTTCTCCAAACTCATAAAATTATTATGTCTGTATTAGCTGAAACTTTCTTCCTGCAAAGCACAATTTTAGAATACAGTATTACTTCTTGCTAAATAAGAAAGATGTGCCAGGCGCAGTGGCTCACACCTGTAATCCCAGCACTTTGGAAGGCCAAGGCAGACGGATCACCTCAGGTCGGGAGTTCGAGACCAGCCTGACCAACGTGGAGAAAGCCCATCTCTACTAAAAATACAAAATTAGCCAGGTATGGTGGCACATGCCTGTAATCCCAGCTACTCAGGAGACTAAGGCAGGAGAATTGCTTGAACCCTGGAGGCGGAGGTTGTGGTGAGCTGAGATCACGCACGCCATTGCACTCCAGCCTGGGCAACAAGAGCAAAACTCCGTCTCAAAAAAAAAAAAAAAAGAAAGAAAGAAAGAAGTTTACCTATTAGCATAACTGCCAAAAAGCCCTTAAAAAATCCTTTATCTCCTGCAATCCAAAACAACGTATTTCCCCAGTTAGCATGTAAGCATATTAAATTTTCCATTTCAATGATGTTTTGTAGAATAAATTAATGTACCTTCATGAATCTATAATATTTTCATACATGTATTTAAAAAACATTATTGTTAACAATGCATAGTAAGGACTGCTTCAGTTCCTTGAGAGAATTTAGTAATTCAAGCAAGTCACATATACACCCCACTAGGCCTAGCCACAGTTACACTGAAGATATTCTGTAACCAATGCCCCCAGAAAGTACAACCAGTCCAAATCCCTAGAAAGGGGATAACACATTAACTGAGAAACATTTCAATAATGTATTTAACTGATCAATAAAATATATTTAAATTAATTCAGAACTGCCAAGTCAGTGAGTATGTATCCTAGCTATACGACCTTGAGCCAGTTTCCCACCCTCTCTGTATCCTGATTTCCTCATCTATAAAATGGAGAGAAGGTTACTTGCCTCCTAGGGTTATTGAGAAGACCTGTAATACAAATAAAGCACTTGGAAACATAGTAACACACATATAAACCCACCATCACAGCTCAATCAATGTTAGCTGTTGCTGCTGACCTTGTTTTACTGCTACTACTGCTACTACTGCTACTACTTAACTCAAGGCATTAAAATCCCTGATTTTGAACTATACAGAACTCCAAATACACAAAAGTGGTAAATAACATATCTGCCATGAATTTCATTTCTTTCTTATTCTGTTAAACAAACATTTGCTTTCTGTTTCATTAGTTAAATACAATGCACACACATAGCACATTTTATAAGTGGAAATAAGGAAATGAGCACAGTAACTGAAAGCCAAATATTATTTTTATGGCTACAATGGTGTTTAAATAGAAATACTGCCCCAGGGAGAAAGGGAAAAAACACAAACCCTAGGATGAACATGTACACAGAACCAAAACTTTTTTTCCAAATTGTCTAGAGTAAATAGTCTGTAATCTAGAGAAGAATCACTGTGAAGAAAAGAAACCCCAGCTGAGACTAAAGCTAAAGCACACGCTGTTGCTCAGCCATCACTGTGTGTGGGAGAGTCCAAGAGTTAAGAGAGAGTCTAACAAGATTTATACTTTGGGCAAATAACTTATTCTTTCTCATCCTCCATTTTCTCCCTGTCAACGATCTACCTACCTGTGGAGGTTTCTTTCAAAGGATCAAATGACACAGGTACATAACGTACTTGGCACTCACAAATGCTCATTCTTCTTTTCCCTAATCTTGTTAACTGGCCATACATCTAAATTGTTTTTTTTCTTTTTTCTTTTTTTTTTTTTTTGAGACAGGGTCTCACTCTGTCACCCAGGCTGGAATACAGTGGCTCAATCACGGCTCATTGCAGCTTCAACCTCCCCGGGCTCAGGCTATCCTCCCGCCTTAGCCCCCCAAGTAGCTGGAACCACAGGTGTGCTCCACCATGCCTGGCTAATTTTTTTATTTTTTAGTAGAGATGGGGTTTCACTGTGTTGCCCAGGCTGACCTGGAACTCCTGGGCTCAAGCAATCTGCTTGCCTCCTCGAACACACAAAGTGCTAGGATTATAGCTAAACTCTTTAAGTTATTCTAGAACTTAAAGTGGTCTCAGAGAGTAAGCTCTCATAGAATCACTTTTTCTGGGTTATAATTAAGTTCAGGCCAAGGACTTTACAAAGAGCAGAAACAATGACCATCCATCTGAACCTCACTTCATTTAACAGATGAAAATGCACAAGTTTAAATAGTTTAAGTTACTTCTCAACCAGATAATATGTCCAATAGGTGGGAGAGCTGACCTCTTGCTACTCCTTGTCATGATAAAACAGCTTATGAGATCCCTATATTTGTCATATACATATACATGTAGATATACGCACATATATATCACAATTCTACCAAATATGTTAATAAATGTTTGGCTCATTGTTTTAAACAATCAAGGGATAAGGGAGAAAGGAAAAAAGGACACTTTGATTCAAAGACCACAAAGACAACGTCAAAATAGGATTTTGAACAACATCTAGTGGTCTAATGTAGCTAGGACATAAAAAGCAAGGAAGGGTCAGGCGCAGTGGCTCATGCCTATAATCCCAGCACTTTGGGAGGCCAAGGCAGATGACTCACCTCAGATCAGGAGTTCAAGACTGGCCTGGCCAACATGGTGAAACCCTGTCTCTACTAAAAATACAAAAATAACAATGGTGTGGTGGCATGTGCCTGTAATCCCAGCGACTCGGGGGTCTGAGGGAGGAGAATCACTTGAACCCTAGAGGCAGAGGTTGCAGTGAGCCGAGATTACGCCGCTGCACTCCAGCCTGGGCGACACAGTGAGACTCTGTCTCAAGGGAAAAAAAAAAAAAAAAAAAAAGCAAGGAAGGTTTGTGACAGTTGAGACTATAAAGGGTTAAAAGATTGGACAGTAAAGATGGGACTAGATTGTGAGCCTGGACTCCCTCTAAGGAGGATGGGCTACACTGCAAGCAATGGGGAAACACTGAACACACTTAAAAGGCAGTGTACTTAAGGGCTGGGTGCAGTGGCTCACGCATGTAATCACAGCAATTTGGGAGGCCAAGGAGAGCAGATCATGAGGTCAGGAGTTTGAGACTAGCCTGGTCAACATGTTGAAAGCCTGTCTCTACTAAAAATACAAAAATTAGTTGGGCGTGGTGGCATGCACCTGTAGTCATAGCTACTTGGGAGCCTGAGGCAGGAGAATCGCTTGGAGGCAGGAAAATCGCTTGAACCCAGGAGGCGGAGGTTGCGGAGACTCCTTTAAAAAAAAAAAAAAGCAGTGCACTTAGGGAAGACAACTCCGGTAGCAGGATAAAGAAGAAAGGAAGTGGCCAAAAACTGGAGCTTGGGAGATGGATTGAGCGAAAACAGAAGCAGCCCAGAACACCCAATAACACTGAACCACCATGCCACATGTTTCACATATTTCCTTTAAATTCATGTTCCTAGCTAACCCTCAAGGTAGGTATTATAATCCCCATTTTTTAATAGTGAATAGCAGCCCAGTCAAAAGATGAGGAGGCAGTGCAATGAGAAGAGAAAAAGCAGAATAAATCCAAGAGACAATAAAGAAAATGAATCAGTAAGACTTGAGAGTATTTGGATAGTCACAAATTTTGGACTTCGTAGGGCTGGTTGGTCGGGAGGAGAGTGGGAAGAGTCAAAAATGGCAGCACCACTAATCAAGGTGGATTGTGACCTAGTGAGTTTGAGAAGGATTTGAGGTCATGGGAAAGCAAGAACCCAAGAGAAAGTCCTCATTGACACCCAAAGGAATGGATTCAGGGCTGCTTTGGGGGTTAAAAAAAAAAAAAAAACAAAAACCACCCCACTGTGGTAGTGCAAGCCTGTAGTCCCCGCTACTCAGGAGGCTGACAGGGAGGATCACATGAGCCCAGGAAGTTGAGGCTGCAGTGAGCTGTTATGACGCCACTGCACTCCAGCCTAGGCCACAGAGCGAGACTCCATCTGGAAAAACAAAAAACAAAAAACAAAACACACACACACACACACACACACACACACACAGAAAAAAGAAAAAAAGAGAGAAGAAAAAATTGGGTCAGTGATCTTTTCTTGTCTTTAAACAATAAGCTTTTTCAAAGTTGTCTATTCACACGACCTCCATTTTCTCACCTCCCATCCACTCAGTCTTTCACCCCAATCAATCTATGGGAACAGGTCTCATTACCAAATAGCCATCCTCTCCTAACAAATCCCCTCCCCTAACACACACAAAGTCCAGTTTTCAGGAATGCTCTTTAAAAAACAAAACAAAACAAAAAATCTGATACAAACCAAACAAAACGAAAAAAGCTCCAAAGGGTTTTTTGAGGGCAAAGGTCAGCAGGTGGTTCACAGGGTCTGTGTTTCTAACCCTACCCACACTCTCCTCTGCTCCATAAACACGGCCTGAAACTATTTCCTCAGATGTATCATGTACCCACGTCAGGGCAACCAACTGCCACGTTTTAATATCTTTGGGGTATGGGGAAATGGATGGTCACAGGATTATGTATTGCCATCCACAACAGATGTTAAAGCAACACAAAATGATGAAACTATGAAGCACCATTTCACACAATGCACCGTTGAAAGGGCAAGAAGGGGCAGAAGCACATAAAACCTGAGCCTTGAAAATCTGTGGACTGGTTTTTCTGGAGGAAAAATATTCGAAGCCCATTTGGTGAATGTGCAAAATGACAAGCTCTGCCAACAAGTGCCCCAGTGACAAAGGAGCCTCGGCCCGAGAGCGGGTCACACAAGAACGCTCCTCATCCCCAGTGTCTTCTGGGCACTCAGTAGAGGACACAGCAACAATCCCGCAACAGTCATCCTCAAACACCACAGACAAAATGACAGAAAAACTAGGAATGAGGAAGAGTAGGTTGTCTCTGTGGTCCTGTTAAAATTAACTAG